CTCTTTTCTTTTCAATTTGCTGGGATTAGTTTAGTTGGCCACATTCTTTTCGTGTTGCACTTTTCCTTGGCTGCATTTCGAGTGGAAAAAGGATGGAAAGAGCTGAGGCCACAGTTTTCCAAGAATTCTATGATAATAATAAAGTTTTCCCTGCCTGTAGCGGCTGCTGCTGTTCATTTCGCACATTAACGCAGCCATTGCACAGTGGTTAGATTGGGAAAGAGAGTAATAGATAAATTTTAATTTAAGGTTCGGAAATTCCAAAAATATGTGGGATAATCTCATTCATCTTAAATTTATTTTCCAACTTCAGAGAACTTTAGAAAACTAACTATTAGATTGGTGGATTCCGGACCACTGTACGTTGGGCTGTACTGTGGCAAAGGGGCGGGGCAAGCATGCCCTGGTGATAGAGAATGGCTCGCATTTTAATTTCGTTAAGTACCGTTATGGCCCGCACCGCAAGTGGAATGCAATGGGAGCAGGTCCATAAATTACGCATACGCCGCGCTCGCCAGCGGTTTCGGCATTTTCGGCCACCTCAAGGGAATTGCAAGTGCACGGCAGAAAAACATGTAATAGACTACTTTTCTTAGTAATTACAATAGGTTTGTTATGGAAGTTTTTCTGAAAGGGATAACGTAAAACTTAGATAGAGAAAATAAGAAATTTAAGTCATGATTTGACTGAGATATGTGGAATGCTTTTTTCTCTGTGTAAATTATGACCCTATAATGGAAGGAGATTAATAGGCCAACATCTTGTAAACAAATACAGCTGAACGATAAGTACGAACGTGATCAAATTTAAGGCAGAAGTGCATGTGTTTAATGCTCATTGTTATTGTGGGATTTTTGAAAGATCGAAAGAAATATTTCCCTTTATAAATCGTAAAATATCCCTAATCGCAGCATCAGTAACGAAATTGTTAAACTTTAACTTAACATTGGCTTTGTTTTGATCAATTTTCGTAAACAAAAGATAGCCAAAAAGTTGACCAAGGAGGAGACTTAAAGCGTTGCCTGCCCGAGCTTTTGATCTCGCTTTCTTATCTCTTACATCTACTTTTTTGCAAGCAGAGCGATCGAAATGCCGGCGACTTAAAGAACTTCTTTTTGTGAAAATTAAACCTTTCGCATGTTTAATTTAATCTGTTATTTAGGGGTTAAGCAAATTCGTTGTCTTCCCTGTCCTAACCTGTCCTAGTTTCTTGTTAATGTGAATACAGGACATTAGGGACTTAAAGACTCACCTCTGGTGAACAGTACAAGGTGCAGTAGGCACTCCAGGGCGGCGCCGTGGGATTTGTTTCTGTACCGGGGCTTGTTGCTCGCTGCCATTTGAGCTTCGATTTACATGTTCGTCAGATCGCCGGCTTTCTTTCTTTTCACCTCGTTTCTATTTTCTTTGCTTTTGCCGGCCTGGTCAAAAGGAAAACAAAAACTGCTAGTTCTGGTGAATTATTCAGCCCTTTGTCGCTGCACTTGTCCCATGAATATTTCAAGTGCGCCCTGCAATTAGCCACACACACTCGGCCAAAGTTACATCTACGATTAGCAATGCCTTCGATAATCGCATACACGCACTCTCTCTTTCTTTCTGTTAAAAAAAATCCTACCACAAGCACTGGAAAAAAATGCCAAATAATTGGATGCAACTGAACGTTCACAAAAATGCGCGCCAAAAATTCGTTCGCGTTTTTGGGAGGCAGCTAAAAAGGGAGCAGGGCAGTCGCACGAGCGCTTTCGTTGAGCGCCAAAAACCAACTGAAGTTATTATTGTTGGACAAGTCCCGTTAGGATTGGCCAGCAGCAGATAACAGCGGGTGTTAAAGCGCTGCCAGCTGCAACTGTAGATAACATGACAGTGCTGCCATAAGACGTAGGGGAAATAAATCTTAAAAGTAGAAGTTTTAATTTTTAAAAGAAATTTTTGCTAATATGAAATTAGTATAATGAGTTAATATGATTTTTATATAATATTTTAAATGATAAAGAGATTAAACGTTGTGAATATAAGTTTTTATAAAGCTAGAGATAATTCATAAAAAGCCAATTATGTCCGAAAAAGTTAAGATGGTAGCACTACGCTGTTAACAGAGGCAAATGTAGAGAGCAGATAATGTTAAATTTCAAATGCTTCTGTACTTGCTCTCCTTTATTATTCATTTTCATTTCAATGCCTAAACAATGCACTTACTACATTCTTTTACAATATGTAGGTAATAATGTCTTTATAATTAAACAAATTCTTAATGCGGCAACTTAAATCCATTCACAGAAAACTTATAATACATTATAGGGAAATAAAACTTGCCGAAATGTAATCCTTTATTATTAAAGTCATCAAAGATTACGAAAATTCTCTATTCAATACTTTAAATTAACTTACAAATTATATATTATATTAAATATTTTACATATTTTTGAATAAATAACGTCTTCTTGGAACTTAGAAAAATTTCAGACTAGCTGGCAACATCAAGCTTGGAACGGTGCTAACTAACAGCTCTGTTAGCATTCCAATTGGATTTCTTATTAACATTAGCGAGCGCATTTGTTAAATTTATACAAAAATGTTTTTTTGGACTTACGATATCTGACAGCACTGACGAAATCGATATATTGACTGTTATCAAACTAACTTGGCGCGCAGTTTGATTTACAGGAAATTCAAAAATCCTGTGAAGTAGAACCTTATTGATTAAATATTTGTTTAATGAAAAAAGTTGATTGTTCGAGATTTTTATCTTATCAAAAACATAGTATTAATAAAATATTGTCATATCCAAGATATCTTCTAGTAAAAGACATCTTTAAAAATCCTTTTCTAATAACTTAACACATCAAATTCTGAATTTGACAGGGCAAAAAACTCTGAACTTAAGATAGAGAGTATGTATTGGTAGCAAAGTCGGTTGCTCGAAGAATTTATTCTTGTTGTCAGGCGGGCAAAGCGGCTTCTGAGGTATGCTGACGCAGAAGCAGTCCTCAGATAACCAGTTTTGATCAGTTTACAGTGGAATTTGGTTGATAGAAACTTGAAGAGCTCAACGGAAGATTGACTAGTTAATACTAATCAACCTCTTTCATACGTAAACAAACTACAAAACTACCTTACTAGAGGGTGTTTAAGGTTTTTAAGACCCATACTAAATCAAATTCTGCAAAAATCTAAGGTGCAAAGTTCCAGAAGCGAATTTTGGTCTGTTGTTATGTTCTTGAAGTGGCTAAGAATTACCTTGAGATTTGTTTTGGCGTAGGACAATCGGTGGAATGGGTATTTCCCTTCTACGTAGCGTACGATTAAGAAATATATATGTATACTCCTTGAGTCTGGGTGTGTTATCTGATATACACTGTATGTGCTTTTTTAGAACTGTTTTGGGGCAGACAATCTCACGTTTTCGTTTTTACTGTTTTATCAGCTGTCTGGCAAGACATTTACATATAATCGAACGATCGGGTCTCTATATACGAATGAATGCCTCAGCCGAAGGGTTCTTTTTTCATTGTTAACTTTTTTGCTGAGACACTGGATTATAATTGATTTAGAATTACAACTTCAGAGTGATTGATTGACTTTGGAGAGTAGCAAAAAGCTAAAAACAAACAAACAAAAAATACAAGGGGAAAGCCCTGGTGAAAGGGAGCACTTAGCAGGAAACCAGAAATTTGCCTACGGCAGTCATAAATCAGTTTTAATTTAAATTATCTGGCCGATGGTCACCGGCCATAAATTACCTATCGTTTCGCTTGGCTTGGCCAAATTTTTTTCTTGGTCCCAGGGTCTTTTGTTTAGACTGTTTGATTTGTTCAAATATTAAGCCATAAATATTTGAACATTGCCAAATTGTACCGCAATCAGTATTTAAATATTTGCTGTCATTATCGCGATTACAATGCTTGTGGTCATAAAAAGTCTCGGATTTCGTTAATTAAAGTAGCTTGCCGGGACTGCTAGTCATTTCGAAACGATCTGGCCGCGTGGCTGCGGCGTGCATTGGCCGGCCGCCCTATTGATAACTCAGTCCATGGGGTCCAAGAACCCCTGAATACAGAGAGCGCCCAGGTATTAAAATTCCGCTCGATATCGCATAATTTATGCACCTCTTCCGCAGCTAAAGTTGCCAAAGAGACAGGCGGACAGGTGAGGGTTGATAAGGCTTCTAGTTCTCTCTCTCTCTCTCTCTGTGTGTTTTTGGTTGTTGGCTTTTGGCCAACTGCAGCCGCAATATTCGCACTGTTTCCGATGTTCGTTGCGGTTCGTAAACAGAACACAAAAACAAAACAGAAATTTCATTAACGAAACATTTGTGTTTACCTTATAAACATACCCTAACCCAGCCAAGAGTCCACTTTGTTGGTAAAACCCTTTGACCAGGTTAATATAGCAGCATATAGTAGCATTTATAAAGACTTATCCTAATCTGCAAAACTGGAAATTTGGTTTTTTTTGTTAAAAGAAAACACAGAAAAATAGAACTGAGAATAAAGAGTTAATGGGATTCCCTCGATTCCGCTAACGCATGAAACGTGAGTAGCGATTTTTGTCAGATTAGTAGTCATAAATAAACAAATTAAAGTGTTTACGCGTTGGAGGTGTTGGGGGATTCCGTATCAGGGTATTCCAATGGCCAACCGATGACATTTGCCGCTCTTCATTTCGGTTTTTATATAGCATTTAAGACAACCAACCCCCTGTCACCTTTCCTCTTGGTTGGCCAATGTCAAGTTCGTTGCCAATGTCGTTCGATTCGGAGAGAAAGACTCCCAAGAGAGAGAGAGAGAATAAGAGAGAGAGAGAGATACATAGATAACAGTGGAGGGTTCAGCGGGGATCGATCGATGGTGTGAGGTGATGGTGAGGGGTCAGACAGAGGGTGTCGCCGGATCGATTAGACAGCTAATTGCGTTCAAAACGCCGCTCACAGCGTGCCTGCGGTGGCGTATACGTAATCGCCGAATTCGCCTAATCGCGTATACGCCGCGTATACGTATTAAATGCAAACAATAATTTTTTAATTTGCAAATTATGGGGCGCAAAAAGCAGGGCATGAGCATAGCATCAATTTCAGTCGCCCACCGAACGTCGAACGCAACGGTCGTGTTTTTTTCGTTTTTTTTGTTCGCTGCTTCTGCTGCTGCTGCTGCTGCTGCTGGCCGTTTGGTGTTCTTCTGGCCCTGACTGAGAGAAGAAAGAAGGTAAAAGGAATGGATTTTCGGGTAACGCAAAACTCTCGGCCGTTCGAAACTGATAAGTGCAACTTGTGAAATTGATACTGGAGCGCGAGCCCTTGATTGAAATGCGCGGAAGTTTCCACTTGTCGAGCAGTCGGAGCTATCAGAGCCACAGGCCAAGCCAAACCCACAGGTGCCCCAGTAGTCGACGACGTCGCCACTATAGCTAATTGTTAGCCATTAATTGATTGGCAGCGAACAGCGCACCACCGGCACCACCGGCTTCTCTACACCAGACACGCCCCCCTTTCCAAAAGGCGGCATCACCCGACCCCACCAATAAAGCCAATAAAATAAAAAGCCAATAAAAGTATACAAAAATGAAGGGCCAGCAGGAGGAGCAGCTGGTGCCGCCGGCCTACAGGCCCACTGTCGTTGGCAAGGACACAGCAAAGGATTCACACGCTAAGGATAAACCCCTAGGCGAAGGTCGCCTGGCAGTACTCCGGCAGGAACTCATGGTCTTCCTGGGCAATAGCGGTGTCCTAGGCTCCGGAATGGTGGTCAGCATGCCGTCCGTAACTCTCAACCAGCTGGAGGATGTAACTCAGCCCTTTTGGCTCACCAAGGACGAGTCCAGTTGGTTTGGTAAGTAACCAAAAAAAAGAAGTTAAAGAAAACCTAACTAACCTTAGGTTACCCGTTTTAGCCTCCATTCAGAACATGGCCTGTCCTTTGGGCGGACTCCTGGTCAGCTACTTCCTGGACCGAGTTGGCCGCAAGCACACCATCCTGCTGACCAATTTATTGGGACTCATTGGCTGGATCTTGCTGGTGACCAGCTTCCTGCACTCCGATCGCGACATGATCTACTATCAAATGCTGGTGGGTCGCTGTTTTGGTGGCATCATGATCGGGATGTTCGTATCGCCCGTGGGCGTCTATTCCGCCGAAATCAGTTTACCCAAGATACGAGGTCGCTTGATCCTGGGCACCTCGTTAGGCTTGGCCAGCGGCATCCTGTTGATGTACGTCCTGGGGTACTTCATCCGTCACAACATCCAGCTAATCTTTGGCATTAGCTGTTGTTACCAACTGGTGGCCACCCTGCTCGTCTTCCCCATGCCAGAGTCACCCAGCTGGCTGCTCACCAAGGGCAAGGAGGAGCGAGCTAGAAAATCACTCAGATATTTCCGCGGCCTGCCCAAGAAAGGTTAGTCCTTGGCTAAATTAAGGCTATTAGGTCCTGATATTAACTGATATATTACCTCTTCCAGAGGTGGACTACGTGCCTGAATTCGAGGCGGAGCTGGCGCACATGAAGGAGCTGGCGGATGCTAGTAACACCACCGCCGCTGGAGAGTCTCTTAGCCAGATGATTCACCGTCCGGAGGTCTACAAGCCAGTGCTGATGATGACCACCTTCTTTGGCTTCCAACAGGCCTGCGGTGTGGTGGTGATCATCGTCTATGCCGTTCAGATTGCCCAGCAGGCGGGCGTGACCATTGATCCTGTACTGGTGGCTGTGATGCTGGGCGTGGCCAGGATAATCACGACCCTCTTCATGGGCGGCATCTTCGAGAAGTGGGGACGCAAACCGTCGGGGATTTTCTCGGCCACTGGAATGGGTGTCTGTATGCTGCTTCTGGCCGGAGGAAATTGGTTCCCGGATACAGTGGGCACCTGGCATTGGCTGCCGGTGGCTTGCATTGTGGCCCACATTATATTCTCTACGATGGGCATGCTGACGCTGCCCTTCTTTATGATCTCTGAGGTCTTCCCGCAGAGGGCACGCGGCAGTGCCTCAGGCATAGCCATCTTTTTCGGCATGATCCTGGCCTTCGTTATGCTGAAGATTTACCCATCCATGAAAGCCGCCCTGGGCACGGCCAATCTGTTTGCCTTCTATGCTGGCATATCCTTTCTGGCGGCCGCCTTCATTGGCATCTTTGTACCCGAGACAAGGGGCAGGACACTCGAGGAGCTGGAAGAGCGCTGGCAAACGGGCAAGTTCTCACGCCGCCTCACAGTCAACAACCTCAAGGACGTGGAACTGCACGAAGTGTTCCTTAAAAAATAATTGCAAGAAAGGACAATTTGGGGGGGTTAAAAAGTAGTGGAGATCAAGATTCGAAGGCATATATTGGTACATAGAAAGATCTCTAAGGAGGATATACGGATACGGAGTGTGCCGTCGAAAGGGGAAAAGGCATTTCCATTAGAAAGCGGGTCGGGTGGTTTTTCAATCTGTGATGTGTTAAGTACTTAGCCTTGGCAGCCACGGAAAGCGGCAGTTCGATAAACAATAAAAATCATTTACCAAGTAAACGAAAGTCAATTGAAGTGCAAGTGGTGTCCAGCGGTCAGTGTTCAGTGGTCAGTGGTCAGGCGAAAATCCAACACATTTCTTATTCCTTTTTTTTTTTTGTTTTTTTTTTACACATTTTTATATTTAAATCTTGTATTATTTTGAATAAAAAACACATGTAAACTGCTATTTGCAAGATGCATCAAAAACAACACTAAGGAAAACTCAGTTTTTAGTTTTCCATTCATTGGAACCTTGACTGATCTTTGCAGCTGCTTTGTTGATAGCTAAGAAATCAATCAGCTGATTGCTTTTTGCATTAAGTTGACCTTAATAGATAGTGCAGTGCATGAAAATCTATACTCTTCTCTCCAGAAAAGAGGAATTCTTTTGGGAAAACCCCGATCAGTCTTACTAATCGATTTATTTTGTTTAAAAAATTTTAAGAACATTATTCTTATCTTTTTACCCAGAAAGATAGTTTATTTTTAGAAATGAACTACACTCTCAAAACTAATCTATTTCAAAGATACAACCTATCTTATTAAGTACCTCTTATCCAATACCCACTGCTGGATTGGCACGTGCCCATCAGCAGCCAGGCCCACATTCTGGATGGGAATTGTGCAATCCCACAGCCATGCAATGCCAGGGCCCAACCCTCGAGAGAGGGAGAGGGACAACCTTCAGGCTGTCCATGCGGGGATCCAAACAATGACTGGTTAATGCTAATGCTTATCGCCACTTGATAGTACTTCATGTCCGCTTCATGTATATAGACCGATCATCGATGGGTGTGCGTTCGTGACACGATGATGGATCACCGATCATGGATCACAAATTGCAAATCACGAGGCGAAGGATCGAGAGTCGAGTGAATATAGTTTGTCTTATCGATGGCATTGCGTGCTCTGACGTAATTACGGAACACTAATTGGAAGCACTGCAAAAACGTGTTCGGCCTATCAGCACCTAACGATGCGGAAAAAATCACTTCGAGCGCTTTGTTTACCACTCAGTTTTGATATCAGTGTATATAGATATATATATATATTTATGTTTACTTACCTGATACACTAGTAATTCGTCCCGAATCGGGAATTGTTGGCCTAGCACTTGAGAGACAAAGATCCCAAAGATGATAAAATAGCACAGGTGGCGCATCCTCGAGCAAAGTGCAGGCTGTTATAGAAAGATCATTCAAGTGATTTGTTGTTGAACAGCCAATGATAAGGTCTTCTGCATTCAGTTGCCAGTGACCGATAAGTAGTGTGTAATTTGCCCTTTATTTGCAAAAAAGGTCTTTCTCGAGTGGTAAATAATAACAATTCGAACATTAATCAGCCCGTGTGATACTTTTCTGTTGCGCCATATGGCTCTTCAAGTAGCAACCTTGGTTTGCCAAAAAAAAAAAAAATAGAGATAAGTTCGAGTACAACTAGAAACTTGATTTGCCAAAGAATGTGATCCAACAATTTCAGTTTACGCATGCAATCAATGAGTGCTTGAAAAAGTAAATCGGAATACCAATATTATTCTTTTTCCCCTCAAAAGTTGTAGTATTTTCTCCATAACTTAGCCAATAAAGGTCTAAATATGGAATATCATATCTCTATAAGCTTGTCTTCTAATTCCTAATAAATCTGCATTCAAGGTTAAAAATGTTTGATTTATTCCCTTTTTGCAACAATTGATAACGTTAACCCTTATCAAAAATCCAGAACTTGGTTTATGCAGATTTTCCCTCTAGAGTGGCAGTATAAGGGCCATAATTCAGCTAAAAATGGTCTGAATATGGAATGTCATACCTCGTTGAACTCGTAATCTGATTTCCAACAAAACTGCATTTCCAGTTTGAAACTTATAAATGTGGCCAATCATTTTGATGATGTTATCCCTTACAAAAATGTCAAAAAACTGACAAAAATTTTAAACTCCCAAAATCATGAAACGAATGATAAGAAAAGTTAGTTTTTGTCGTTAGCTTTACAAAACAGTCTTTATCTTAGTTGTGCGTCTTGTTTTGACTAAGTTATAGACATAGAACCGATAAAAAAGATTTCATTTTCTGTCAGAACTCAAAATCCAGATTGTTGCCCCAAAATAATCAGAATTATTCCCGCAACAAAGTCAAAAGTGGTCGGAATATAGAAAGTCATATATCAATGAACTCGTAATGAAAATTCCAACAAAACTGTATTCACAGTTAAAAAAGTGAAATTTTAGACATTTTTCGAAAAAATATATGAAATATGTAAAATTATGTTATCGAAAATGGAAAATCCCATTTTTCTCTTTTTTCCCCTCAAAATGAGTTTTTTCTTTCTTATAACTAAGATAATAATTGTCCGAATACGGAATGCAATACCTCGATGAACTCGTAATTAAAATTATAACAAAACTGCATTCATAGTTTGATATGTCAAAATTTTGAAAATATTCGCAAATTTTAATGATGTTACCCCTTATCGAAAATGGAAAATCTTTTTTAACCCGATTTCCCACCCAAAATGGCAGTATTATGGTATAGGGGTTTTAAGCTTGGCTAGTTAGCTGCATAAAACAGTCATTGCTTTAACCATGCTGCTTGTGTTGACAAAGTTAGAGCTAAGAAACGGCAACAAAGCCGAGCTTTCTGCTGTCAACCGACGTATACGTGATTTTAAGCGCAAAACAATCAGTTTTCTTGCCATAGCTCAGCCAAAAATGCTCCAAATGAGGAATGTAATATCTCGTAGGACTCGTAACTTGATTGTTATGATTCCCAATTGGTTTGCATTCAAATCTGGGAAACTTTATTTTTGGCCCATTTTTGAAAATTTTGATGATGGTACCCCTATCAAAAATGCGAAATTTGGGCCAAAATTGACTTTCACAAAATGGAAAAACGAGTGATAGGGGTGGTAAGTGCTGGTCGTTAGCAGCACAAAACAGTCGTTCTTTTGGCTGTGCGTCCTGTTTTGACCGAGCTAGAGGTAAAAACCGAACATAGTATTGCAAATTTCTGTTAAAAATCGGTTTCCTGGTTTTTCAGCCCTTAAAACAGAGCTCGCACCAAAAAATCAGTACAATAATGTTAAAAGTAGGTATAGGGTTTTAAAATTTCGGTTGTTAGCTTCAAAAAACCGAAATTTTTTTAGCTGTGCGTTTTGTTTTGGCAAAGTTATAGATATAAAGCTGATTAAAAATGTTGAAATTTTCAGTCCAAAGTCATAGTCCTGATTTTCCCCCCAAAATAATCAGAATTATTCTTATAACAAAACCAAAAATGGTCGGAATATAGAAAGACATATCTCGTTGAGCTCGTAATTTAATTTCCAACAAAACTGCATCCCCACCTTGAAATGTCAAATTTGGTCGATTTTTCACAAATTTTGATGATGTTACCCCTTACAAAAAATTCAAAAAAATCAAATTCACAAAATCACCAAACAAATTATGAGGAAAGTAAATAAAATTGCAGACGAACTGCATTCACAGTTTGAAATGTTAAATTTTGGTCATTTTTTGAAAATTTTGATAATGGTACCTATTAAAAAAATTAAAAAAAATTAAATTCCGAAAATCATTAAACCAACGATGAGAAAAGTTAGTTTAGGTCTTTAGCTTCTCAAAACAGTCATTCCCTTAGCTGTGCGTTTTGTTTTAAACAAGTTTTAGTAATAGGCTATGAAAAATATTGATATTTTCTGCCAAAATAATTATTTTTCAATATTTCCATTACCCAAACTTATAATGCAGATCGGTAGATCACAAAACATCAAACGATACATTTCCAAACAAAATTAAACTTTTAAAGATCTAAACGGCTTAAACGATCGCTGTTATCAATTCCAGTGTGCTGTTAACCTGCAGCTCTGTGCTGTTCAGCGCCTAGCAAGGCACCAACAAGATCCCATCTCTAATAAATGAGCCGTTAGCTTTGCGTTCTGTTTGAATTTGAAATGTTCTTTCGTTTATTTGTTCTTTTTGTAATGTGACACTCTTAAGTACAACAATTAGCTGCTAGTTTAATATATATGTATATATGTGTTTTTGTATAAACGAGTTAAAATTCAAGTTTTTCTTATTGGTTTTTTTTTTTCTTTTGCCATTTTCTCGTGTAGTTTTACGGACTACGAACATTGTTTACGAGTCTGTCTTGCTGTCTACTGTCAGCTGTCAGTGTGTGTGTCGTTTATTCGGTATATTACGGTACATTACGTTATTACTTTTAAATATTTAGTTATTTCAAAAAAAATTTCCGCTCTGGGGGCTTAATAGTTATAATATATATATATATATATACGTTTTGTATACGGTATAGTTAATATAATTGTTTGGTTTTTCATCTTTCTTTTTTTTTTTTTTTGAATATATTCCCTTTGTTTGTTGCTATTTAAACTGTTGTTTGTTCCACTAAACTTGTTCTATGTATGAATGTATGTATATTGCTTTTAGGTATGCATTTATTTGTAGGCATTTTGTAGTATTCTTACTTGATTTACTCTTCTTTATCGTTATCTTTATCTTTAGCTTTTATCTAATTCTGTTATTCTGTTTAACCTCTTTTTGTCTGTCGTTTTTAGTTGGTGTTGGGTTTTTAAAAAATCTTTCTTAGGGCAGTTCACGTTTCACATACAATCATCATCGCCATCTATCGAGTGTTAACCTCACTATTCAAAAAAAAAAAATGACTTCACCTCCATGGGTGGTCGTAGCTCCTACACCTTCTTCTGCTAGTTGCCATTTTCTTTAAGTACTATGTATACATATCTCTATATTCTTTTATTCTTTGAATTGTATATAATTTGTCGGTGTTTTTTTTTTTTTGTTTTTTACTTTATTTTTTTTTTTTTAGATGAAAGATGAGCGCTACGTGGGGAAGGGGGGGCACTACTTTTTGGGTAGAGACTAATAGGGAATAGAGCAGAGATAGATGGTCGAAATTGAAACCACGAAATAATACCAAAAAGTTTCATAGGATAAAGCGCATATATCTTTCTAGCACTGAACTCTCTCCTTCAACGGAAGCAGAAAAAGAATAATTCTACCTGAATCTGAACCTATATCTGGGGGTCTTACTAATTCTCCGCTCTGTTGAGGTTCTTTTCAAGTCGTTTTCATTTTCTTTTTTTTTTGTTTTTTTTTTTTTTTTTGAGTTTTTCTTGTATAATATATATATATATGTTTATATAAAAAACGATTTCTCTTAGGCTAGAAAAAAAATTGTATGCATATTTCTGGTATTTTGGTTTTGCTTTATAAAAAGATCTTTACCGTCTAGACACATTGACTTTGATATAAAAAAATGTATAATGTATATATATTTCCGTTACTTAACACGTTTTATGCTTTAAGTTTTTTTCTTTTTGTTTTTTTTATTATTGAACAACATTTTAAATGTATTTGCGATTAGGTTTTCTGTGAGGTTACCATGTTCTACAACGTTAGTTATTAAAAATACCAAAAAAAAAACTCTATTCAGTTGCTGCTGCGTCTCTACTCTCGGTCTCGGTATTACAACAAAATTAGCTTGGCTTCTTATGAGTAAAGAAAAAAAAAATTGTCTAAAGAATTATTAGAAAAAAAAAATAGATTGACAAAAAACTTCCTTTTCTCACATGCTCAAAAAAATAGTCACAAAAAAAAGGTATTTCTTCGTTTCGCTATCCAAGAAAAAAAAAAATGAATAAATCTATATATTTATGCTTTTGGTTTGCCTTGGCTTAATCTAATTCCACGAGACATTCGACCGCTTGCTAAGGTGTGCTAAATGTATGAGTTCTGGCCTCGATTAATCCGATATTCGTTATATAATATCCTCTTACGCACTAAGGCTACTTTGGTTGAGACTATTTGCTTTCGATTTGAAGTGAGTTCGGACGCCGCCTTCCCGACTGTAGGAGAGGGGCTGCTTTAGAATGAATGTCGCTTACATATTGATTTAATAATCGCTTTCGATTTTTGTATATAATCATTAATTGGTATCGCTAATGCGCTCTCCCAATATATATATATATATATATATTTCGGATTTAGTTTATATTTAGTATTCAGCACAACCAAGCTGTAAGTGTTTAACTGTGTATGTGTGTCTCGTCTGTGACTCCCTTCTCCGGCTTTCGCTTAAGGCTAGTTTTTATTTTTTTTTATTCTTAATTCGTTGACTAATAGAGTGTCATCATAGAGTATATTCAAATTAATATATAATTCAAACCAAAACTCGGGGGTAATGCTGTTTGTGTTGAAGATGTTTATTAAGTTGCCTTAAATAATTGTTTTCTTAATGTTTGTAAGTGTTGTTTTTGTTGTTTTTGTTGTTTTAAGCCAGAGACATAATGAAAATTAAAATAAAAATGAAATTATACATTTTTTTCTTCATTTTTTTTTTGTTGACAAATTAAAATTTTTCACATTTTTTTTGTGTGTAAATTACTAATTTATAAAATTATTTTGATAGAATTTAGAAAAAAGGATCATCGCATATTTTGAAGTTGAAAATAATTTTGAGTTCTCTTTCATTGATCTTTGCACCTACACCGAAAAAAAAAATATCTGTTGTCTGCTTTTGGAGTGACTGACCGTATAAAAATAAAAGAAAAAACTATTAAATAAAAACGTACAAATTTAAAACAATATTGTGCTTTTTTTTCATATCAAGAAATAATTTGAAATAATTCATCGCAGTCACTCCAAGGATTTAGCGTGCTTTTTCTTTTTCGTTCCTTTACGATTCGTCGTCCTTCCATTTTCTCTGATTTCTTTTGCTTTATCTGGTTATTTATCACGTTTCCTTCTTACTCGCTTTTTGAATGTTTTTCTTGTTTCTTGTTTCGTTTTCTCGCTGCCACATGCTCAAGTTCTTTCGTAAAATAAACTAATAAAAAAATGGATTTCAAAAAAAGTATTTATACTTAGTCAAAAAAAAAAAACATATATATTCATTATAGCTATGAAAAAAATTGGGTTTTTGTATTGTAATTTTGTCTGGGTCTCTCGTTCTCCTACTCCTTCTCCTCTACTCAAGCATAGTTCTAGCTAAGTTTTTGTTTAAGTTTATCGATAAACAGCCTGAAAACTTGAGCATGCCCAGCCTTTAGCCAGTTTAGCCATTTCGTTACGTATATAATATAGACAAAAAAATGGGATTATAAATTATGAAAAAAAATAATATGTATTCATATATATATATATAGATGTGGATTAACTTCAGCTATAAACATACACGTTACGTTGCCCGTGTACGTTGTTGCGGCATAGTTCGCGCCAAAAAAATCAGTTTCAGACACAGAGAAAAAAAAAAAACAATCAGAGCTTATGTCCTCTTCTACAAATATGCTATATAGCTATAGATATATAATGTGTGTTTGCGTGTGTGTGTTCTTTTTTATATAATATATTTTGTTGTATTTTTCTTTATGATTATACGTTATAAATATGTGACAAAAAAAATGTGTTTCTCATAGGGTTTTCTTCTCTCTAAGTTTAAGCAAAAAAAAGACCTCCTTCTTTCTCGTTTTCACATTCTACATATATATATATATATATGTACTATATATGTGTGTATATATAATTATTTATGATTTGTATACATATACGTGTCTTGCCTTAGAGCTAGTTACAAAAAGAAAAAAAAGATTCCTCTCAAAAAAAAGCACAAAAAAACCAACTACAACATAAGGGTTAAGAGTGAGGAACATACAAAAAAAAATTATATATATATAAAGTAAATTAATTCTTGGGGTTTGAGAACATAAAATTTGGGTTTCTGTATATGGTTTCGATGGATGCTGATACTACGATGATCAATATAAGGTATTCATAGTTATATATATATAAAGTGTTATATATTATTTCTAATCTGAAGATTGCCTTCTCTCATCATTCGCTTCTCAACTCTCTGGTTATGTACGCCATAAGAATCCTACGTTTGTGGGGTTCGTGGAGGATGATGCCGATGCCGTTGCCGTTGTTGAAGTGGAAGTTGCTGCTGCTGCTGCTGGTGATGTTGCAGATGCAGCTGCTGCTGAGGTGTTGCTGAAGCTGTTGTTAAGATGCAGCTGCTGCAACTTGAGGGTTTGCTGATGCAGTTCTTGCTCAGTGGTCGACATGGTAAAACCAAAGTCGTGCTGCGGCGAACTATGGTGATTGTTGGTGTGATTGTTGCAGCCATCAGTGTTGTTGTTGTTCTTGTTGTTGAAATTCATGCTGCCAGCTGCATTGTTGGTAAAGTTGCTGCTGCTGCTGTTGCTGAAATGGCTGCTGCCAGAAAGGTTGTTGGTGAAGTTGCTGCCGCTGCCTGACGCATTGTTGGTGAAACTTCCACTGCCTGCTGGGTTGTTGGTGAAACTTCCACTGTTTCCAGGATTGTTGGTGAAACTTCCACTGTTTCCAGGGTTGTTGGTGAAACTTCCACTGCTTGCTGGGTTGTTGCCGAAGTTCCCACCGCTCGTGTGGTTGTTGGTGAAGTTACTGCTGCTTGCACCGTTGTTGGTGAAAGCACTAGGGTTGTTGTAATTGCTGCTAAAACTATTGGAGTGATTGGAATTATTATTATTGAAGCTATTGCTGTTGCCAATGGCCAGCAATTGATTGTTAAGACTGCCGCTGCTGCCATTAAGGTGCGCTTGTCGTGATTGTTGTTGTTGAAATGGCGGCGGCGATGGCATTGTCAGCGACTGCTGTTGCTGTGATTGTTGTTCCTGCGGCTGTTGCAGTTGCAACTGCTCCTGCAGATAGTGAAGGGCAGCAACTCCATTCTGGCGTATCGTATTAAAGTTAATGCTATTGGTGTTCGTATTGTTGTTATGGATGTTGATGTTGTTATTACTTCCATTGGGACTCATACTGTGAGCAGCAACATTGCCCAGGCGCTGTTGTTGTTGTTGTTGTTGATGGTAATGTTGGTGGTAGAGCAGCATGTTGTTCTCATTACCATTGGCGTTACCGTTGGTAATGCTATTGCTGGTGCTGCCGGTAAAGCCCAACGCCTGTTGCTGATGTTGTAGGAGTTGCTGCTGCTGTTGCGGTGTCAATTATAAGTAAGGATAATGGTACTTCCTGCGGTACAGTCCGTCAAGCAAATCGGCAAAGTTGTCGCCTAGATTGGTTCAAGGTGCGAGAGCAAAAGGAAAGGTTAAGAAGAAAACAAAAATCAATTAGTAAAATATATCAAAAATTGCCGCAAGTCATCATGCTTCTATATAAATAATTTAAAAAAAAAAAATAAAAAAAAACTTATTTTCTAAGTTAAAAGTAACCCTGATCTCTGGTAGAGCCCTGACTTAACTAGCCTAGGTGAGAGAAATTAATAAGATTTAGTATTTCTTTTAGAGAGTTTCGGTTGCCTTCATGTTTTTCTTTTTAGATGGTGTTAGGTTAGTGTTTATTGTTGTTTGTTTTTCTTGTTTTTTCTTTGTTACTTTTGGTTTACTTTAGGGATTTTGTTGTAGTTTTAATTCAAGCTGAAGTTTCGTAATTGCATTTTAGTTATTTGTTTTCGTTTTTTTTTTTCGATTACAAAGGTTTGCCCACTCGATGTAACACACGATTTAAAGGGTATATTTTCGTAATTTTCATTTAACGTGCCATGTTTTCTCTTTGCATTTTTTTGTTGGTTTTGTGGAACTATCAGGATGGGATGGGGGGATCTGGATTGGTGTTTCATTAAAACAAATCGATGACTGATGGTCTAAGGTTATGCGTGTGTGTGTTGTGACTGATCTGTGGGCGTATATAAAAACACTCACATACAAATATATAGTCAAGTGCGTTCAAAGAACATTAGCAAGCAAAACATGTTGGGTATATAGTTGATATTTAATATCTAGTTAGAGAGTTTTTTTTTTAGTTTTGGTTTAGTTTAATTTTTTGTTAGCGAGAGAAACATTTACGAACTGGTGAACTTTGATGAAGTAACAAGAGTTCGAAGGAAGAGCAGACAAGGCAGACCATGAGGGGGATTTGGATTAAACGAAAATCTAATCAAAAACACTAAACAAAACTTTCGAAACAAGGGGGCGGCTCTAGGAGAACTCGGTTTTAGTTTTAAGAACAGGTGAACATTAAGCGCAAGCAAACAGAGGTTTGGTTAGCAAATTTAACTCTTTTTCTTTTCGAGGGCCAGCAGCAGCAGCAATTTATACTCAATTTTTTTTTTTTTTTTATTAGTTTTTCTTTTGGTGATTAAATTTGGAGTTCGAATTGGGGTTTCCATCTAGAAGTACAATTTTTTTCTTTTGGCACTTTTTCAAATTGGAACTTTTTCAAATAACGCTCTACACGTCCTTGGCCCTTGCTCAAAACACAAAAAACAACTTCGAGAGCAAATGCCAAGGAATCGAAATCGATTCATTTTTTTTTTTTTACTATTTTTTTTTAGAGAGAGATGGTTTAGTAGCTGGGTGATGATATGAGAGAAAGTAATAAAGAAAAACATGGCACGCTTTGAAAAGAAAATTCGGCTTCTTTTTCCAAGTATTTTTTGTTCTTTTTAAATTATTTTTATATATTTTATATAGATAGGATGAGAAATTTAAAAAAGAAACTGAAACTGATTGAAGATTTCTTTTCGCTCTTCTCAATTTATGTGGCAGCGCATGAGTGTGCGTGTGTTGAGTGTGTGTGTCTGTGTGGGTGTGCTCTCTTCTTGATAGACTCTACTTAAATAGATTATAGGCTCTGTTCTTTTTTTTTTTTTTTTTGATCTCTCGGCTAGATCTGTCTTAAGGGCTCTCAACAAATAAAAAAAAAAAGCTCTAAAATTATATGCTTTCCGGCGGTGGAAAAGCAAGAATCTATGATAGATTACGACTAGGAGTAGTTAATTAGAAATATAAGTATATAAAAAAAGGAATAATTACTATCGAGACCAAAGATAGCATCGCATATAGCATCGAATAATGAGCGTAATTTTTCCATAGCTCCGTCTATAATGAAAAAAGGAACAAAACGAAAAAAAAATTGTACAACTTGGATTAGTTGCGGCACAGATTGAGTTTTTTTTTTTTTTGTGGGGTTGGTTGATTTGCTTGATTTTTGGATGAAATGGGGGAATAATAAGATTGTTTTTTTGGTTTATAAAGTTTCTTTTTTTTCAATTATAAAAATCTTTTTTCTTTTTTTGATTTCTTTTTGTCAACAACAATCAATGAAAATGAGTTGAGTCGATCGCTTTTCCTCGAAATAAAAAGAAAGAGAAGCGATCGATTCGTGGTGGTTAGTGCTGTGAGTAGATTAAAGTACAGTAGAGTATCTACGGCATGGAAACAACAAATGCGAAATACAATGGGAAACACAAACTACGGGTTTAACTTGAAAACGAGAGACCAGTAACTAAATTCAAGCTATGGGTAAAAAAAAATTAAACCAAACTAAAAGTCACTCTTTTAAATCTAAAACTGTCTTCGGCGGAAAAGTCCGAAGTTCGAAGATATTCTTGCTAATGTTTTTGGAAACCTTTTTTATTCGACGTAGCAAGGATATCATGTTTACACCTTTAAGACAGAATTTTCAAAGCTTAACACAAAAACGTTGCATACTTTCTGGCTGGCAAAGGTAATTTCTCTTAAATGTGAATCGAAATAAGCTTGAGATTTCCATTTTACTTTTTGAGTTTAAATAAAGTTTTGAAAATTCTTGAAAATGTAGGCACCGTTTTAATATAAACATAATTTCGAATCATTCTTCTGAGCTAGATCTAACTAAATATTCATAAAAAAAAAATAATGCAAATGATATTTTTAAACTTTAAAAACAACAACAACAAAAAGCAATAAAAAAAAAATCAAAGTATTGAAATAAAATAAATGCGGGGGTTAAGCAAAATCTACAACGGAGTTCGGATTGAGTTTTTGCACATTTGTTGCTTGGCTTTTGTAGAAATGATGGTAAATGTAATTATATAGATATATAGATAATTGATTCCTTTGAAAAATCCACACTGAAAACACTGACAGGCACGTAAAAAAATATATAAAATAAATCTGGTTACTTTATATGATTTTATGCATATTTTTTTGTTTTGTTCTTTTTTTTGGCGAGCACTAGGCAGAGATGAGTAACATTAAAAAAAAAAGATTAACATAGCTTAGCACACAGTTTTCACTTGAAGAGAATATGTTATGGAATACACTGGCAAAAAAAGTTGAAAAAAAATGTTTGTTCTTTTTTTTTTTTTTTTTCTTGCACTGGAACCGATAAAGGGGTGTGGTATGGATTCATAGAGAGAGAGAGACATCAAAATGGTTATGCTTTTGTGTCCTTTTCATAGTCGGTTTTTGATCCATTCGAAAAAAAAAAACAAAAAAAATTACAACTTCACATTAAAAAAAATAGAAAAAAAAAACAATGGGAGAGGGGGTGGTTTTATGAGGGGGTATTTGAGGGTTTCTCATATAAGGGGGTGGTTGTGTGACTTTTGGCAGCACCCCGTTATCGTTTCGGCTGAGTGCGCGCATACTTACCATGCGCCTTTCACTTCTTTCTAATCACTTTCACAGTGTCTCTGTCTGTCACACAGCCGTCCGCCTCTCTCTGTCTCTTGTGCCTGGGTACTGTAACTGTAACGGGAAATCTGCACTCGCGCTCTCGTTCGTACTCGCTCGTACGCACGCGTGTTAAATGGGGGGATGCGCTGATATGCTGATATCCTGCCGACACTCATCAGACTCTCTCTCACACACACACACACTCATGCACACAGTAGTCATAGGTCACAGTCACTCAAGGCAGCTTTAGCAAGATCAAAAATAAAAAAGAAAAACAAAAAAAAAAAACAAAAAACAGAGAAGGAGACTGGGAGAAAAACTTCCCGTTGTAACGAATCTTTTCCAACACAGCATTTTTTTTTCAAATTTGCTTGAACTTGAAAAAAAAGAAAAAAAAAAATTGCGGTTTTGGTTTTTGTTTTTATGTTTGTTTTGCTTTTCGCCTTTTTATTATTATTATTCGGTTTCTCTGGTCACACTTGCGGGCTTCTTGATTCTCGTTTTTTTTTTTCTTTGAATGCTTTTAACGCACTACAAACTAAATAATTATTAAAATGTAACGCTATTTTATAGAATATGTTTCATATAGTGAAATATATATATATATATATGTATATATTATAAGTATATCTAAATAGGTATTTTTTGTTACTTTTCTCATGTTTTTTTTCGCTCTTTTCTTGTTGTCGGTCTATATGGGTAAAAACTTGATGACAGAGAGAAGTTAAGAAACAGAAAAAAAAAAAATATTTGCGTTTTTCGATATTTTCTCTTGTTGTTGCTTTTCTTGCAGTGGTTTGTAGTTGCTGTTGTTGTTGTTGTTGTTAATTGTTGTTGTTGTCGCTGGTAGAGATGGGCAAATTATAACCAAAAAAAATATATATATATATGTGATTCGATTTCAATATTTCGATGATGCGATCTGAAGAGATGCTGAAGAGGTGGGTGGTGGAGTTAAAAGGGGTTAACAGGTTAAGGCTCGGCAACGCTTTTATGATTTTTACTCCTTTAGATTTGTATTTTATATCATTATTATTGGTTGTTGATCTCCTTTTTTTATAATTCAGTTCTGTTTGCTAGCTCGCAAATATTTATCAGTTAGTAGTTATATTTTGCACCAGTCTTTTGTGAACATTAAAAAAAATTGGCAAAAAAAATTGGATCAGGAACGAAAACGAAAAAAAAAAAATTGCACACTCTCTCCTCTCGATCTAAGTGGGGGGCGCAGATCTCCCTAATTTTTTAGTGGTTTATGCTTGGTTTTGCTTTTAGTTAGGTATCGATTCAGTCCTTGGTTGGTTTATCTCTTAGTAGTTAATATATTTCTTTTATTTCTTTTTTATGTGCATTTTTCGGTGTTTTATTTTTGTTTAAAAAAAAAATTCAGCTTTACTTTTGCTCATTGTGCTGTGATTTTTCATTCTAGAAAACCATCTTTATTCCGAGAAAAAAAAAAATTGTTCCTTTTCGGAACACACACACTATAAAAAAATTGTTAAAAAAAAATTTTGGTTTCTGTGGCCAACACTTTTTCGCGAACTTCTTTAAAGTGCTAGGTTTACCATTTCGCCTGAATGTGTGTGTGTGTTGGGGGTGTGTGTCTGTTGGGGGTGTGTGTGTGTGTTGAGGGTGTGTGTGGTTGTGTGTGTATTCTGCTGTCATAGTCGTGAAATAAAAGCTTAAGATTTAAACCTAAACAAAAAACGTTGATAATTTCCGTTTTTCCTTTAAGTCGAAGGTTAGTATCTAAAAATTACGTTTTTTTTTGGAATTTTTTCAAATAGTTTTTAATGTTTTTTTTGTAGGGTTTTTTTTTTTTTGTATTAATTTTGTAACTACACTAAAAAATATATAAAGTAAAATTCAACTTCTGGTCGACTTTCCAAATATAAGACATATATATTAGTATAATATATATGATCTCCGGTTTAAATTGCAACAATAATTTTGGATTGTTTACGAATTACCAAGTTAAAAATAAAACTAAATCTGCTTTTTTGTATTGTTGTTGTTGTTGTTGTAGGTTGTTAGTTAGTGATTTCTTTGTTGTTGTTGTAGCCTGCTGTTTTGTTGTTGTTGTTTGTCAAATACCAAAAAAACAAAATGAATCAAAATGGTTAAGATGTGGAACACTCTCAAGATATATATATATATATATAGCAGCAGCAGATTGCTCTGTGTGAGTGGCTTGTTTTGTGTTTCATCTTGTTGTGAATCGTTTTTCTGGTTTTTGTGTTTGTTTTTTTTTTTTTTTTTTTGATATCAGATTTCAGATAAACTTTTTAGCATCGAAATAGGGATGCGAGTTTTGGAAGCGTTGCTGTGATTTTGTGATTGATCTACCTCTGTGCACCATATTGTTGAATCCGGCGGCCATGTGCGGCGGCGGTGGTGGCGGCGGCGGTGGGACATTTGGCGCTGCCACGCCCATCTGTGACATAAAATGCGCCGCCTTGGCCTTGCCATGCTCCTCGGCCAACCGAACGGACAGTGGCTGTGATCCGCCCTCGGGTATTACGTTGTTCAATGCCGATATGGCCTCCTGGGCCTCCTCACGCTTGTTGTACCTGTATAGTTTTTGATTTATCGATCGAAAAGACACACCATGGATGGCAAATGAGCGATGGGAAAAACAAATGAGAGAAAGAAAGAAAAAACAAACACATGAGCCGGGTGTCCAAAAAAAAAATACAACGCGTGGTCGTCTTAATAAATCTTGGCCAAGATGTTAAGCTTAAAGGTTCTTTAAGTCGACTTTTCTTCTTCACAAATCTTGAAATCGACTTAAAGAACCTTAATAGATAGCAATCTTTAGCCTTTTGTTAGCACTTCTTAGATAACATTAACTATAGACTAAGGACTCACCGAACAAAGGCCACACCACGGGGACGACCTGTGAGCTTGTCACGCAAAATGTTCTTCTGCACAATGGAACCGTACTTGCCGAAGATCGTGTCCAGCTGATCGTCGGTTATGGTGCGCGGCAGATTGGTCACATACAGATTGGTGTCCTTGATTGATTCCCCGCCGGGACGAGCATAGGAAACCTATTATTAAAGAAGGTATTAGTGAAACATCTTCTTCGTTAAGGGAAGTCTGTTTAAGAAAACCCACCTTGAGACGCTTGTTGCGCACTGTGATGCCATTCAGTACTTTGATCGCACGCTGCGAGTCCATTTCCGATGTGAAGTCCACGAAAGCATAACCAAAACTGTAGCCAGTCTATGGGAGGATAAAGATTTGGAATTAATTGGAGGCTTAGAAGATTGCAAAGTAAAGCTCTGTTGTCAAACTCACCTTATAGTCTCTCATGATTCTGCACGTGTTGATGGGTCCAATGGCTCTGAATAGGGCGTAGAGCTCACGATCGGTCATGTCCTGGGGCAAGTAGTTGACAATCAGGTTGGTGTTACTGGCCCTGGGATCGTTCATGAGATCATCGCTACCGCCGCTGCCCAGCGACAAACCGCACAGATTGTTTAGCGAATTGTTGCTGGCCATTGGCGGTAGGTGGCACATGTTGCCGCCTCCAAGATTGTTGGCACTACCGCCATTTCCACCGCTACCGCCGCAGCCGGGGAAATCATTGTAACCGCGACGCGACGAGGAACTTGGAAATGAAAATTCTGTATCCTGTGGCGAGAACGCATAACGTGACTGTAATCAGATTAACCATACAAAGATATTCTAGTGTTGTGAGAAGGCCTCATATCGCTTGTCTTGGGGTTGATTATTAGTAGATTGATTGATTGATTGATTGATTGGATTTGGATTGGATGGTTCGGTTTGGTTGGCTTGCTGGCTGGCCTGGCTGCTTGGTTGTTATATATCTCGATATCGATACTTGTATCGATCGTTGCTTTGCGGGCAGCAACAACAACACACAACGTTAGTGGTTAGTGGATGAGATGGCGAAGGTTCGAAGTGGTTCATAAACGTAGAAATCTACGGCAAAACTCTAACGGTAACAATATTCCAAATGCAAATCTTCCAGACAAAAATCATTATCTTTTCTTTTTTTTTGTTTTGTTTTGTGGTTAGTTTTTGTTTAAGACGTGCTTGAAACTCGAGTGCAGCGATTTGGTATTGTTTATTATTTTTGATTTAAGCATTAAATCGAAACATTCTCTTGCTTCACTGTACTTCCGTGTGTCTCTGTGTGTGTGTGGGTGTGGGTGTGTTTGGCTAAGGGCATTCACAGGGTTGCACAAACCAAAGACGAAAGAAAAACATGGAATTTCAAGAAATGCATAAAAAGTTTCTTTGCTTTTTTTTAGTTTTCCTAAGCTTCTTTAGTGTTGCTTATTTTGTAGTTTTTAGTTTTTATGTGAAGGTGTGTCTTGTGAGGGTCTCTCGGTGTCATTGAGAAAGAGGAAGTACAGCAAGTGGCAGAAATATAGTGACAAATGAAAGGTAAACTCAAAATGTAATTCACTTTTTAACTTTTTTTGATGATTGAGTAATAGAAATGAAGTTGATTTGTTAGGAAAAAATGAAGTTTAAGGTTAATTTCTTTAAAACAAATTCCAATTTCAATAGAATCTAAGTGTGAACTATATTTTTGCCAGTGACTGTTGAGGAGGAAGAGTGCGCAAAGCGCCAAACGGAAGCCAAAGCTGAGGCGGAAACGGAAAAGGAAATGGAACGGACTAGGTGGCAGGGTGATACCCAAAGGTTTTCCATTAAATATTGTCATTGCTTTCTTCATGGCTCATGCAAGTGTGGCTTTGTCTGTGTTTTATTGTTAAGATATTTCTATTTAAGGGTTTAGTTTTGTTTTTTTTTTGTTTTTTGTTGTATATTTAAAAGGTTGTTTGTGTTGTTGTTGTTGTTGCTGTTTGGTTTTATGTTTAAATTGTTTTCTCTGTTTGTTTAGGTTTTGTTGTTTAGGTTTAAGTTGAGAGTTTAAGTTTAAGTTGTTGATTTTCAATATCAATATCATTATCATTATCAATATAAACCAAAATGAAACTGTTTCAGCATCCATAAAATTAAGTTTTAGTATTTGTTTGTTTTATCGGAAAAGCGTGTGTCCCCAGAGCGTTCATGAGACAAACTCAATAACATACAACTATGAATAGTAGTAAAAGGCATAAAATTTATATTATTATTATTATTGTTATGATTAGATTATCAAAAAGGAAAAAACGGAAACGAAAACGTAAACAAAAACGAAACCAAACAAAAGTCAGTCAATATCAAATGCATTGCCTTTTAATTTGTTTCTTTTTTTTTTTTCTTTTTGCTTTAAAATTGAAATATTCTTCTGATTGCTTTTCGATTGATTGCTTTCATGCAATTGAAAATGGAAATTTGTCGCTAACAATAATTATAAATTTCAGGCTTAATAATGATGATAGAAAAGTGATGAATACTAACCATTCCAGATGGCAGAGAATGGGACATGCCAAATCCACGCCCACCGCTATACGATGATTCGTCGTTGAAGGTGGAGAGGGGAAGGGGGAAGAGAAAATATCGATTAGCTTTCACAGAAATGATGGGTTTTTTTTCTTCAGTTTTTAGTTTTTGCTTCTAATAAAATACTATTAAAAATCATCAAAATTATATGTATAAAGCGCAATTTACTATTTACATTGTTTTAAGTTTTGTAATTAATTATCTTAAAAATGATTAAGAAATGTTTTGGCGTTGGATGATTTGACGATTCTTTTCTTAACACTAACTTAGGCTTACAGAACTAGTTGGTTATGGAAAAACTGCTAGTTTCCCTAGCAATTTCCCATTAGACTTAAGCTTAATTCGAGAGAGAGAAAAGTTAAAAAAAAAAATCGGAGAAATATGATTTTAAAGATTCTGCAGTTTCCTGGGGGAATATAGCACAGTTGACCTTAGGACAGATCCCTTAAGTTATATTCCCCCTTGAAGCCTGCAAAGCCCCTTTGCCTTTAAAGTGAAAAAAAAAAACAAGAAGTTTCACTCTTTGGCTTTTGGAAAAAGCATGATTAATTTTTTTTTTGTTGTACTTTCGATTCACCGAAAAAAAAGAAAAAAAAATAATCATGGGACTATGCTAGTTAACCCATTATATAATTCCAATATCGGACACTTTTTGAGCACATTTTCACTTTAAAAAAATAAAAAAAAATAATCACTTTTTTTAGCACTTTTTAAATCACTTAAACAAAAAATATAGTCTTTTCCCACGTCGAATATTCTCTGCAGATCGGTTGTATATATCATTTAGGTCTAAGTTAGGTCTTAAACTGATTTTTGTATAGTATATTTTTAGGCTGTTACCCCAAATATTTCTTGGTATTATTTTAGATTTGGTTTTGTTTTTGGCTTATTGGCCATAATAGTCTTAGAGTCTTTTTACTTACAGGGTGTTGTTGGAGGTGTCCTCGATTCAAAAACATTTCGTTTCGTTGGCGAGGAGACCATTGGGGGGCGGAGCAGGCGCGTTGCCCCCCCGTGCAAATTAAAACTACATACTATCTAACAAGTCAGTGAGTGTCTTTCGCTTTTCGATGATAATATGCTTGCTGGCTCTGCTTCTTTCTGGGCTGTGGAAAAAAATGTCTACACACGATTAAATTCAGCTGCGGTACAACGTCGATGATGGGCGTTACATAATTTTGCTGGAAGGGAGTTTTGGTTCTTTTTTTTTATGATTTTGGTCATTTGGAGTGTATATATGTGTTGGTGTGTGTGTGTGTTGTGTCTGTATTTGCAGGAAGTTCAAAATTTCATTTGTATTTTGCACGAAAATGTACGAAAAAAAAAAAATATAGGTGAGACCAAGAAATCTCAATTGTTTGCTGGCAAGGTCACACTGATTCTGTATTCATTTTGCACTGTAAAAAAATATGCAAAAAAAAAAATAGAGGGATGAGACTTGAAAATCTCAATTGTTCGTTGGCCAAGTCACTTGGGTTAACAGATTTTCGTTTTCTTTTTTTCACAGTAAAAAAAATGGGAAAAAAAATGATGCCACTAAAAAGTGGCAAGGTCACTCTGGGCTGGTGTTGATTGTTGACATTGTTGATTGATGCGATGCTGCTGCTCTGCTTGCGGTTTGATGTTGTAGTATTTGTAGTTGCTGGGCTTTTGATGACCTTGAGCAAATGTTGCATTTGCATTTTGCCTTTTTGGCTTTTATTCATTTCAGTGCTGCTGCTACTCTTGCCAGAGGTAGAGAGATGGCCAGCACAGGGATTGTTCACACAAAAAGTGAACGAGCGAGAGAGAGAAAGAGAGTTGGGGAGGGTGGTGAAGGCAATTTGTCGTCTATATGCATTGGGATATGTTGGGGGGGTTAAGAGTGGTGGAAGAAGGGCAGTTTGAGTGCTAGTGTGAGAGTGAAATGGCGACGCAATAACCACAACAACAACCGGTGCTTAAGGCTAGTTATAAACTGTAAAATCTCCCCAGCGAATGCGTGGGAAAGGGACAACCATACGTACATAACTTAAGGCTACTGCATGTCAAGGTCCTGACACAATTTCCAAACAGCACGTGATGCACTAAATTCGGAAGGGGCCCTCTCTGTGGTTGCTCTGTTTACATTTCATCGACTGCTGAATAATGTGCCATAAATTATACGACCCCCCCCTTCGCAAAGAAAAAAAAAACAAAATAAAGGAGAAGAAGCGAAGCGGCTCATAAAAATGTCACGAATGACGCTACTGCTGCTTTTTCCCATTTATTTTATGCCCTAGGATGATCATTATAGAAATCAGACCACTACTTGACCCCGCTTTTCCTCTTCTTCTTCTTTCCTTTTTTTTTGGCAGCAAAAAACAGTCAATTTAGTCATTTCTTAGGCAAACCTTAAAGCTTACGTTCTACTAAAGATCTGGCGATGGAAGATATATGGACAATGCGAGGCGAGAAAAGAATAACTGACATCGAAAAAAAAATAAGAGAAAGAGAAATCAACTCAAGGCAATTAAGGCAAGAAAGTAAATCATTTTTTAGTACAGTTACGCCAAGCAGTAAGTGTGGAACAGAGACAAAAGAAATATACAAAAAGAGAGGTAGAGTTACAAGAACATTTACCGGTACATTGTGAGACTGTTTAGGTTGCACAATCCGCACGATGAGAACGTTTTTAGGCCGTTTCTATAATCCTCTTGCCACAAACGAATTGCACAGATACAGATACATGTATCTGCCTTGTTCTACGCGTCTATATATTTGAGATATATATCTATATATATATATTTATGTCGAGTTCCGATTCCCAGCGGAATCAAAACTTCTCTTCTGGTGGCCCAGACATGGCGCACACGCTTTTTGTCTTTTTTGTAAATGCAGTTCGATCTTTAAAATGTTTTTGATGTATATATCTTTATATATATATAAATATGGAAGATTGCGTTACTTTACGTTGTTTCACGTTGCTCGGTTAAGGTTAACATGTTTGCATATTGCTTATCTTTTATCACATTCAACTGTAAATATAGGACAAAAATAAAGCATGTCGCGATTACGAAAACACGCAGACGGCGATCAGCTGACTTTTTGGTTGAGTGAGTGTGTGTGTGTGTGTGCGAGTGTGTACGATTGATGCGAGCGCATGAATGTATGCTATGAAAAAAATGGCACAACTAGAGATAGAAATACACAGCTAATGAGAAGGGTTCGTTCCTATGTAATGAAGGAGAAAAACTTAATAACATATTCTATGATAAAGAAAAAACAATGAATTACAATTGGGGAGCGGAGCTTTTTAGGGGGGTGGGCTGTACTGGCGGCTGTACTCATAAGGGGCGTTGTTCCCCCCCCTGAAAACCGATTGACTGTTTTTTGCTGCTCTGGCTTGGGCTTGCTATCTATGTGTTGGTGTGTTTCATTTGTGTTTAATCGATTATTGGGCTTTTTTTTTTGTTATCACTGATTGCACCATCATCTAGTACATGTAACATTTAATTATACTTATATGAATCCTCCTTGTTGTTGTTGTTGCGGTTATTGTTATCCATTCCTCTGGCTGTTCCGTTGATTCTTTTTATTCTCTTTTTTTTTTTGCTCTGATATTATCCGAGCACAGCAATAAAACAAAGAACCAAGTGAACTAAAAACCAAACAATGTGTGTGGGTGTGTGAAAATGAAATGAATAGGGGGGCCGGGCTATACATAAGGGTTCTTCTTGTCTTGTGCCAGCGACATCGACAGCAAATCGATAACAATCTCGAGACCTTATCGACTGGCAATCAACATCCTCCCCCCGGGCACACATACCAATGCATATTGGATCGCCAAGTTTTGCTAATAAAAGAGATTTCGAACAAGCAAAAAAAAAAAAGAATAGATCTAAATCTAAACCAAATATATAAGCTTCGTTGGCTGCAAATGATTTTCCAGCAACAGGGAATTTTCTTCTTCGTACAAACTATTTAAAAAAAAAAGGAGGATTGGGTTTTGGTCTTTTGTTCGTTCGCCAAAGAGAGATCTGGGTAGCAAAAAAATTAGGTAAACACTGTATCATCTTTATGTTTTTTGTGTGTTAAATGTGGGCAGGATTATGGCTGGAAGGGATGGGAAAAGGATTGGGATTGGGATTGAAATACAGTCGAAATTCTCTAGCTCAAAGTGAATGTAGTTAATCAGAAGGGGTTAGGTTTTAGCTTCAAAAACTTACAAAACTTTCTTGAAATTATGATTAACCTAGAGAAGTTCGACTGATAATTTGAGTTCGAAATTTGAATGGGGATCAAGATCAAGATCAAACTCAAAAGTTATGGAACGAATATGGCTGACGGAACGTAAGAACTCAAGTTGAAAAATTTACCTCGACTTGTTGTTGTAGCCATATGGGGGATAACCACCGTTATTATTGTTACTACCCGGATTATTGTTGCCGTACATATCCTGAGAGTTGCGAGTGTGTGCTTTTCGAATCAACAAAAGTTACACCCTCGATCGAAGGTGAGTTTTGGTTGGTTTTTGTGTGGGGAAAAAGGATGATGAGGTGAGTTGGAGGTAAGAACTTCGATCTCTTCCTCAACTTTTTCGTTTTTCTGTTTCTTTCTTTTTTTTTTGTTTCTTGTTTTGGCGCTCAGCGCTCTCAGCTGGCCTGCTGCTGCTGTAGATGATGTTGTTGTTGTTGTTGTTATATTTCCTGCTGCCTCTCTTCAACTTCTTCTTTTTTTATTGCTCGTCTTGTGTTGTACTAAAATAGTTGTTGCTCTTTCTACATATGTGTGCACACACACACACAATGTGCTCTCTTTCTCTCTCTTAATTCCTATGGGGTTTTCTCTTAGTGTGTGCTTGCTGTTCTTGTAGGCGCGCTGTTGTAGTTATTGTTGTTGTTGTTGTTGTAGTAGTTGAAGAGATGATAGAGTTGTTGTTGGTACTAAGAGTTGATTGATTCGATTTAGTTTTGCTTTAATTGAATTTCCCTTATTTAGGGGAGGTGGGAAAGGGGTAGGGTGGTGGTGGTACTACATTTACACGAATTAAAAAAAAAAACATGACAAAGACGTGAATTGTGTGCGACGCGATTCAATGAACGAAATATAATGGAAAACCTATACAAAAAAATAGTGGAAAACTCCTTTAATCGTATCAAAAACTGAACTGAGCTTATGTCTGTATATATATATGTGTGTGTGTGTGTGAGTATTTAAAACTAGAGTTGTCAAGCAATACGAAAAATCATATATAATAACAGTAAGAAACTCTGGTTTTTTCGGTTAGATATATAAAGCTTATTTTGTAAAAAGGAACCCCAGAAATATTTTTATAATAAATAGATATTTGGTAAGAATTGCTTAAAAATACACTTAAAAACAACTTAAACACTTTGCATACAGTCGCTATCCTCAGTATAAGCCAAAACACTAGTTAATAAGCTGCGCTTTTATACAATAATTTTGACTATTGATCAAGAGAAACAATAATGCCCGACATACCTGGCCATCTTAAAGTTATAGTAGGACGACATGGTCGAACAGGGAGTCACAGTTTCGAGATCAAAATCCATTATGGAATAATCACAAAGTTAATTTGATTTTTGGCAAATTGAATGTAAGACACACAAGAAATCACAAGATCTTAGGGCACAAGTTGAACTTGTCACGAGTGGTACTCGACTGAAGAGGTCCTGTCGCCTATCGATCTATTTAAGGATCGACGTTGGGCGGTGGGCTAGTGGGTGGCAGGTAGAAGTTCGAAGGCGGCAAGGTGCGCGCGTGCCAGTCGCGTGGGCTACCTAAGATCCCAGGGACTGATCCCGTGAGGAAGTGTGCCAGGCGTACTTTCTTGGGTGGCCGGCTGCATCTCGCGGATCCCCGATTCCCAGATCTCCCGATCTTCGCAGGCAGGCAGATGTGCCGCATTCTCGGAAGCTGGAAGCTGGCAAGGTGCAAACTTTATTTTTTTTTTTTTGGTTGGGCCGGGTGGGTGGAAAACGCCGAAAGGTGGAACGTGGCAAGCTGCAAATTAATTACTTGGAAGCAAGCTGCAATTTTCTTTTTTGGGACCCGAGAATAGAATTTCCTTGAATATCTCATAGGACTAGTTGATAAGATTTCCTAGAGCATTGGCATTGTCTTGATGACAGGCTTAGGCTTAATATCAACTAATCATTTAGAATAAATATGGAACTCAATTAAAAAACCTAATCAAAATTATTATAAATAACCAATAATCCATCCTATACACTTTCATATTCAAAAAATCATTTAGATTAAATCTAAATAAAACATTTCACCTAACTATAAAACAGATTTTCCAAAGATTTATTGCCTATTTATTATGAATTAGTATCAAATATATTTTGCTTTTGTATTAAAATTCCAATCAAATCAATATCCTGTATAAAATTAATCCTTATTCAGTGTTAATCCTCATAAACATAATCACCGCCATTAGCTCATTTCCCTGCAGCTGCCCCTTGGCTGGGATTTGGAAAAGGGGCAGGTGAAAATGCAAATATACCTCCCGCTTATAAAAACGCCGGGTGGAAAAAATCTCTCGCAAAATACCAAGAACGCAGCCTGCAAGAAAATTCTGTAACAGTTTTCAGCAGAAACTTTAAGTCTGTCAAGAAGTATGGTTCACTCTTAATAGAGGAGCTAAGAAATTAAGTACTTTTGTTACCAAGAACAAGAAGTTGATTGACTTAAAAAGAAAAACTAATAAACTCAGTGAAGTTAAAAAAGTTGTTAAGTTTTGAAATATTCCGAAGCTGAGGTAAACTATATATATATATTAATCGTCAAGTTTTAAAATATATTCTAAGATATGACTAGCATATGAGTAACCTGTTAGAGGACAAAATCAGCTTACTAAGTCTATTAAAGAACCTCCATAAATTGAAATATTAATCTTTGGATAAGAGTATTAAACACATTTGAAGGATAAAACCAATAAACTAGACATTATAAATTTATCTTCTCGACGCGATAAGCATTAGTAAATGTCTTAGTTCATTGACGAATAGCTTTGTCGATATCCCTAAACCCCAAGCTGTACAAACATTTCCAATAAGCTTCGCTGGCAATTATTTCCAGAAGCAGGAAACAGAATCCCTTGGATTCTGTACATACTTCCTCCACTTCTGGGATCCCCCAGCCAAAGGAAAAAAAAAAGAGCAAGAAACTTTTCCCATTTTCAAGGGAGCTAAGAACGAGCGAAATTGGAAAATGCGGAAAACGGAGGAGAGAGCAAGAACAAGAGAGAAGGCGAATAAAGAGGAGCCTGCAAACGAGGGCAGCAAAAATGAGGCGCAAAAGGGGGCGGCCGAAAAGTGGGCGGGGCGGCCTAAATCGCTTTGGGTCGCTCAGAAACACAAAAACCAGAAGAAAAGTGGGGTGGAATGGGGTGGTGGTACGGTCACCAAATCGAGGGCTGCTTTTTCCCATGTACAAATATACACCAGATTGCCGAAAAAAAAAGAAAAAAAAACATACAACAGAAGCCCAGGGAAGGGAAATATATACAGAAATATATAAAACAGAGTGTGTACCTCGCTTTCCAGCGTGAAAATCCACAGCGAGCGAAGGAAAATGCGGAAATAGAGAAACGAAAAGCGTCACAGGCTGTCAGTTCGGGAAAGATGAAAAGTGGCGGAAAGTGGGGGGTGGCGTGGGTAAACAAAAGGGTAACCTGAAGGTCGGTCTCCATCCAAAAAACAAGAGAACCCAGAAATGAAAAGAAAATCCAACCAAAAAAAAGAGTAACAAAAGTCGCATCGACTTTCCATATGCAGATGGGTGAAAGCTAAAAGCACTGAGAAATCAAAAAAGAAAGTCCGACACGCACAAAACTCTGAGGGAAAATTGATAATATCGAATGTCCATGAAAGTAATGGGAGTACATAAAGAAAACTTTAATATTTATTTTTCCAAAAGAAAAACCCTCTTGTTAAGTTATCAAAAGGAAATATAAAAATATAATAAAATATCTTCCTTGTCGAATTCAGAACACACACGTGTACAGAAACTCAAACAAAACAGGCCAACCTTTTATTGATTTCAATGAATACAGCATTGAGGCCATTTAACAGGCATTTTTCTTCAGTGTACGAGTGGGAGAGTGAGTGAGAGAGAGGGAAAGCAGCAGCGAATTGTAAAGCAATCACAAAAAGCCAGAGTTACTTTACAGTTTGATAACAGTACTCGGCTAATTTGGAGCACAGTTGTGTAAATAGAGCAGCACTATTATGCACTATTTCTTTATATATGTGTGCGTGTGTGTTTGTGTAAAACAGCTGACCTGACATATATGTTAACATTTATATCCAAAGATTCATACATATCTATACATCTCTGTCTAACGGCTGGTCAGCTGGTAAGATGAGTCAGGCACCCGCATGCATGAATGGATCTCAATCTGAAAAGCAAAAACACAACAGCATTGCCAGACGTAAGCAGCGATCCATCGAACATTCCAGCTGATCGTCAGCTTGTATTATTGTTATTGCTGTTATTGCCATTTCAAGTGTATCCAGTTATATATGTGTGTGTGTGTTTGTGTTTTTCAAAACATTAAGCGAGTTTAGCAAGTACAGTGGCCACTCGAAATTTATAACTCAGATACTTAAAATATCAAAATATAAGAATTTGATATTTATGTTCTAATCGAAGTAGCGCATTTAGAAGCGAATGATGTGTAATATTATTATTAACAGTTATTTTATTGAGAGATCCCTGTTCGTGGGTATTTATTGATTTGCCGCCATATAAGGTTCACAAACGGGGTACAACGATCATGGGAAATATTCAACTTGTAATCTGAACCCACCAATGACCTTAGTGGAATGCAAAAAGGTATAAAAAAGAGAGGATTGTGTGGAGTAGGAGGGGGGTACTTGCTACCACCATCTTTCCAATAACCAATGCATTTTTCCCCAAACGATCGTTGCGATGTCATTGCCAACAGCAAGAAGGGGAATGACCCGCGGAGAAGAAGTGAAGAGACGGCAAAAGAGGAGCAGACGAACAGTGGCGAAGAGGAGAAAAATGCAGCTGCCCCTCCTCTTCCAGCCAGCTGCAACTTGGAAAGCAAAAGACACGGCAGCTGAGCGTGCGAAAGGGACAAAATCATATAGAGAGCAGCTCGAATATCTTTTCCTTGCTCTCTACCTGCCTGGAAAATCCTTGATCCCTTCTCTTCAATGGGAAAAAGGAGAGCCATAAAACCAAAAAGGCGCGTGTCGCTAATGAGGATCTTTTAAATTATGGTCCTTTAACTAAAGCCATATAAACACTGATCGCCGAAATGGCAATTATTTTAATTGCAAATGCATAGGGGAACACCTAACTATGGCATATCTTATCCAAGGCCTGGTAAAATGTAACCCAAAACACGAACAAGAAAACACGCTGCCTTCAACGATAACAGCTGGCAATGCCGTCGACGTCAGGCGGTCTACAGACACAGTCGTCTCCAAAAAAATAGTTCGAAATTAAAAAGTATCTGCTTATATATATTTTAAATTTATAGTAGTATAGAGATAAACTAACGTCATACGACTTTAAATTCTAAAGATGGTATAATTGAGTTAAATTTAGAAGTTTTGATTATTCAAACAAGCAATGGAGATTGTTAATGACTGTTAACTACGACTGACTGAACACATACCAAATCGTCCCCTTAGGGCAATTCGAAAACTTCATTTAATGCGCAGCAAACACATGCTGAGACATATTGATAAACAGGATATGTACATATGTACCTATATGCATGTACAGGATATGCATATGTACGTTTAGGTAGTCAAAGTGCAGCGGAACTAAAGGAAGTAAGGGACATCGTGGAAAAAGGGGAAGCAATAAAAACGCAGGTAAAGATTGCCCTATTCTTGTAATTCCGACCATTTATTGCTGGACGCGACTGTATGCAAGCGTTGTTGTTGTTGTTGTTGTCATTTTCGACTCTTTATCGTTATTTTCGCTATTTCGTTAACTGCCCTTGCTATTTGATTGTTGTTTCTTTGACCAAAAAAGCTGTTTCAAACTTACCCAGAGTCTTACTTATTATTATTTAGTTAGAGACTAGAAGTTTAACAAAAGATTTAAACACTCACACACGCTTTTGGTTTTTATGTATCTATACATATTTACAACTTACTGTTTTTACTAGTATGTATATGATATTTGGGCGATGTTTGTATGTTGCTATGAACTACACAACTGTAACGGAAACAAAAAAAAAGAAAAAAACAAAGCGCATGAATCGGCGTGTGCGTGTGTGTGTGTGTGCGGGTATATACATACACGCACGCTCTCTCACGTAGGCACACGCACATATATGCGAATGACGAAGCCGCAAACACAGGAAAAAAAAGTAGTACATAAAGTAACAACAACAGCAACGAGTGGATGAGGGAGAGAGCGAAAACGGCTTTGCTTCTGCTGCTGTTGTTGTTGTAGTTGGTGTTACTAGTGGTGGGAAATGCTGAATGGAATTTTACAACATGTTTTCGGCTCGTTACTCTTTTTTTGCACTCTACTTTCAGATCATTAACTTCAAAAAAAAAAAAAAAAACAAGATATACAGCAAAAAAAAGAAACAAAAACAGCGAGTATTTGCGTTCTCCTCTTTACTCGCTCTAGTAAAATTTATGCATGTGTGTGTGCAAAACCAACAAAAAAACATTTATAACTTTAAAAAAGAAAAGAAAAACTCCCAAAAAAGCTCAATTTTTGGGTACTATACTATAATAATTGCGAAATGATTTATGCGCATTTTCACAATGTCTGCGTGTTTTCCACTATCATTTGGCTTTTCTCTTTTTGCGTTTGTTCATTTCAGTTCGCTTCGTTATATACACTTCACGTCACGCTAGAAACCCTGTATGTATATGTACATACATGCTTGGTGTCTCTGTGTGTGTATTGTTTTTTTCACTGGGGGTTTTTCCCCATTTTATTTAACTACACGATTAAGCACACAAAACATTGTCTTTGTCTTGTTTTTTTTTTTAAATATTTTAACTTATTCACTTTATTCGTGGTGGATTTACGTGGCGTATATTAGAAGGAGCAGAGAAAAATTACCAGAAAAAAATTCACTGCGCGACTTTCCTTCCTCGGCAACAACAAAGCAGTGTGCCCCTTTAGGGTGTGTCGTTGAATCTATACTACCGTTGGTGACTGGCGTTAGTGTGTCATACTGGGGGTGAAACTTTTGCAGTATTTTGTGCCTTCCTAAAAGCGGTCACTTCGAAGTTTAATAACTGGAACGGCGGATATTTGTACACAGGACAAAAATACAAACATAATCGCTCCAAAAACGGGTTGTTTAACCTTTTCATTTTTTGTGAAGCTTCTAAAACTATTGTAGTAAACCTCTTCTAAGGCTGAAGAATTTGAAAAAAGTTTGCATTTCTTATTGTGGTTTAGGTCTTGGCTCTCATGGTTCTTGTATTCAATTTGGCGCTGTCCTGTGGCTATGTTTTTAAAAACTAGACAAGAGGATTACAAAATATTCTACAGTAATTCCTTGAGAGGACTATTTCGATATCGCAAGTGCCAAAGCCTTAAATAATGTTCAAGTTTCTTCTTCTTATATTTAAGCAATTAAAAAACTTAAAACATAGTACACAGTACTCCATAGTAATTCCTTGAGAGGGCTATTTCGCTAATCATAGAGATCATATCTTAGTAATTAAAGCGGATCTCGCATGTGAAAAAGCCTTAAATAACTTTAAAGTTTCTTCTTCTTAAATAACTAAAGTTTATTTTTCTTATATTTAAGCAATTAAAAAACTTAACTCATTAAAGTGCGCTATTAAATAGATGGAATATGAACAGTATCCTTAATGTTTCGTTTTCCACAGTTCCGTAATCTCCGTCAATTCGAAGGCAGTTTAAAACAATGGTTATGTTTGGCCACATTACCGAGTTAAGTGCATAACGGTCACACTTGGTCACGTCCCTCACGTTTTCTATTTACGCATATACGACTAAAAAAAGCGAATAGAAGTGCTCTTAAACCTATATGTTGTTTGCTTCCAGTGCAACGCATTTCGCAGCGAGTAAATTCAAGGTAAAGTCATAAAAATTGCACAATCATCAACAATTCGCGCAAAACAAGAGGCAGCTGTGCGTGTATGTGTTAGTGGGCAGAAGACTGTTCCTATGTGAGTGTGTGGAGTCCTTTGGATTTTTCAGAAATTACCCAAAATGGGGAAAAATCATATATGTAGGTTTTGTGGGGACATATATCCAAGGGAACGGGCGAGGAGTGCGCCGGATTCGGGGGCGTTTAATATCAATGGCTGGCAGCGGGTCGACGAACTTAACCTCAAATCCTGGGCCAAAATCCCCAAACGTGTGACGAAAGACAACAAAGCAAACAAAGCGTCAAATGTCAGTCAAATCTAATAGCCAAAAACTTAATCCGTATTCAAATCCGAATTTCGTTCAGAACGCGCAGAGATGTGGCAGACCCGTTCCCGCTCGCAGATATCTAATCTTATTGCCTTTTTTGAAAGCAAGCATCTATAGTTGGGCTAGGACAACCCACCAATATAACCTCTTTAACCCCAAGCTGTTCAGTCCCACTAATTCTTACCTTTTGTTCTTTTCATTTTAGAGCGCGCTCATAAGGAGGCCAAGGCCAAACAGCTGGTCGACATGGTGAAGAAGCGTCAAGCCGACAGCCACGATCACGAGAGCTCCACGGACAGTGGCGATGAGGAGCTGCACCATAGGAACACACTCGGCTCCGCCGGACAGGCAGACGGGACCACGCCTACCGCCTCCAGCTGCCAGCACATCAAGAAGGCGGTGGATGCAGCCCGGTTAAGGCGGATTTTAAAGCCCACTGGCCTGTTGTACGAATGCTCTCAGTGCCAGAAGCTGGGCAAGACAGCCGGCGAAGGAGCAGCCGCTTCAGGAGGTTCTAACGGAGAAGCAGGAGAGTTTGAATTTGATAGTACATTATGGCTGTGCCTCAAATGCGGCAGCCAGCTGTGTGGAAGGGCCAGGCACAAGCATGCCCTAGAACACTACCAGGTGGGTAGATTGTAGATCTTAGTGAGTCCATAACTTTTGCGTTTGTCTATCAATCATACATTCGATGTTCGTATTCTAAGATTAATTTTATCGTTAGATTCTTATCCCTTGTTCTAACGCTTGAAGTTCCTTCTGATATCCTATCAAGCCAAGAACTAAATTTCAAGTCCTTCAGTTTTCAAAGAGATAAATAAAACTCAGTATAACATTTGAAATGAACTTTAGTAGTCACGCAATTTATTACGTTGCAAATTAAATTTATTACGTTTTGTACAAAGACAAAGAAATACTACAAATAGCCAAAGGTATAGAGACATCAGTCATCAGCTATAGGCAACATAACGAGGGCCTAAAGTATAATCCAAATCCTTCTCCTTGCAGACACCTCACTCTGACTCGCATGCACTCGCCATGAACACGCGCTCCTTCGACATCTGGTGCTATGAGTGCGACATGAAGATCTGTTCAAATCTCCGCAAGAACCTGCTCGAGTGCGTGGAGCTGGTAAAGCGATTGGCCCAGAAACCGCCTACCAACACAGCCACGCCCAGTCCGCCCACCATTAGCTACATCGAGCAGAAGATCAAGTCCACGTTAGAGCACATTACACCCATGGTGCCCATAACGGGCGGATCCTTCGACGACACCGGTGTCGGAGGAGGTGCTGGCGCTGGGGGAGGAACACGTAGCAGCCAGGTTGCCATACCTATGCCACCACCGCAACCCCGCTCAGGACAATCCAACTCAGGCACTTTAACTAGTGTGCCAGGAATGGCAAAGAGGATTGTCAAGCCAACCGCCAACGCCATCACCAATGGCATCAGTGTGGAGAAGCGTCTCATTTCCTTTGAGACGCCGCGCAACGAACTGGACAGATTGCCCAGAGTGCGGGGATTGACCAACTTGGGCAACACTTGCTTCTTTAATGCGGTGATGCAGTGCCTCGCCCAGACACCGTTCCTGCTCTCTGTGCTAAGGGAACTCGCGGAGCCCGGAGAAGAGTAAGTAAAGATTGATAGGAAGTGTAAATGAGCTTTAATGACCAACCACCAACTTCTACAGATTTGTTCTACCTGGAGGCACTTTCAAGATGAAGGACAAAGGCGACATTGAGCTGCCCATGATCAAGGGCACTCTTTCGTCTTGGGGCGGTCTAACCGCCGCGCTGGCTAATGCCCTCGAGGAGCTCCAGGCGGGCGGCGGTGTCTTCACACCCAGCAAGCTCTTTGACAAGCTGTGCACGAAGTGTCCACAGTTCACGGGCGGCGACCAGCATGATGCCCACGAGCTATTGCGCCAGCTCCTGGAGAGCGTGCGGAACGAAGATCTAAAGCGCTATCAGCGCGTGATCCTGGAGAACCTCGGCTACAAGGACCAAGGCATTAACAGCGTGTCCGAGGAGATGCGCCAGAAGTGCAAGATCTATGGTAACCAAGCTGGCGATCGCATACTGCGCCCGGAGCAGGTCTTCCGTGGCTTCCTTGTGTCTACGTTGACTTGTCAGGATTGTCATAGCGTTTCCTCACGGCACGAGTACTTCCTCGACATGTCACTACCCGTGGCCGTAGAGAAACCCCAGCCACCGCAGCGCCGAAAACCGAGTCCGGATCTCTCACTGGTGGCCAGCAGCTCTGCCTCTACCCAGACCAGTCAGCCGACTATCAACACCAAGTTCACAGAGGGTAGGGTCGATTTTACAGCTCCCTCCTTTTTCCTGCACGCCGACCAGGAAAGCTCCCTGGGTCCATCCAAATCGCAGGTGAAGAAGGTGAAGGAACGCGAGCGCAAGGCCAAGCGTGCGGCCAAACACCAACGCCATAAGCAAGCTCAGAAGCTGAGCCTTAAGCTTAACGGGAACGACAGCGGAAATGGAAATGCTTTGACCGATCCCGTGGAACCGAGCACTGGTTTGGCTTCCTTGGGAGCCGGCGATAGCCAGGCCAACGATGCCCCCGAACAGCCCAAGGAACAGACCGAGGACACTACCTCATCCAGCGTGACTACCTCGGAGCACTCCGATGCCGATGTCGAGGACAATCTGGTAGAGGACTCAGCCCCGCCATCAGCGACCAATGCGTCGACCAGCACCTCAGCATCCTCAGCAGCTCCGCCCAAGTTCTATACAGACAGCAATGGCAATGCCCAGCCACTGGGCGAGAAGCGCGACGACACGCCGGAGCACATGGACAAGGATTCGCTCGAAGAGGACGAGAATGGTGAGTTGCAGTCAGATTTCTGGTCGCAAATATGACCTTTAAAGTGTCTTTAAATCACCTTATCAGTAAATTTTTCTATATACTATAACCTATCAAGGGTGTAGATGTGATTAGCTATCAATTAAGAGATAGAACTATATAACATTGACTGACCCACTTTAATTTCAACCCTTCTCAGATTCCGGCATCGCAACCAGTCCGGCACCCACTGCAACCAACAGCAGCACCAGCACCAATACCACCAATGACACCAATACCTCGGGCAATAACAACACGGGCTCATCCGGATCATCGGTCGTTCTGGAGGAAAACTCTGCACCGGCAAGCCTGGTCAGTGCAGGCCTCTCAGAGAAGGGCGCCACCCTAATACGCCAAATCTCGGTGGGATCTGAGAATGCCGGTCTCAATGGCACTGCCGTGGCAGATGAAGAGGTGAAGGATATCACACAGCCTGAAAAGACCACAAATCAGAGTCAAACCCAGACCCAGGCTCAGGCCCTGGCTCAGGCTCAGGCCCGTACGAAGCGGGTGCGCACGCAGAGCTACTCGGATTGGAGCACCACGATAGCGCCGCGATACCAATGCGAGGATGGCGAGTGCTCTGTCCAGTCGTGCATGAATAACTTCACCGCCGTCGAGCTGATGACGGGCCAGAACAAGGTGGGATGCGACAGCTGCACCCTGCGCATTAATGGCAGCGATCCACAGGCCAAATCGGTGAATACCAATGCTACCAAGCAGCTGTTGGTCTCCAGTCCGCCAGCAGTGCTCATCTTGCACCTGAAACGTTTCCAGCTCGGACCACGCTGTATATTCCGCAAGCTGACGCGCCCTGTTAGCTATCCCAATCTGCTGGACATTGCCGCCTTCTGCGGCTCCAAGGTCAAGAATCTGCCGAACATCGATCGCAAGCAGAAGAAACTGCTGTACGCCCTTTATGGCGTTGTCGAGCACTCCGGCGGGATGTATGGCGGCCATTACACGGCCTACGTGAAGGTGCGTCCAAAGGTGACGCCGGACGACAAGCGCTGGAAGTTCTTGCCGCATGGCAGCAAGGCAGAACTGGATCAGGACGATGACCAACTGAAGAAGCTGGAGGAGCTGCTAGCCAAGGAGAAGGCGCGCGAATTGCACCTGCAAGCATTGGAAGACAGCGATGACTTTACGAACTCAAGCAGCAACTCATCCACCTCAGACGAGAGTAATGCTCTGACTACGTCGCTCGAGGAGCAGCAATCGCCGCAGGAGGAGGCGGCCAACGTGCAGGCACCGCCCGGCAAATGGTATTACGTGTCAGACTCGCGTGTCCAGGAGGTTAGCGAGGACACGGCCCTAAAGGCCCAGGCCTATCTGCTCTTCTACGAGCGCATATACTAGAGATTAGGTCATGAGCATGAGGGTGATTAGGGGCTTGTAGGTGATCATGTAGCGGGAGTCTAGCCGGGAAGGGGAGCTATAAGAGTAGGAGAGGAGCAGACGTCGTTCCATAAACTAGTTTAGGATATTCTATACACTAATTAATTTAATTTTTTATGCCGGGTTTCGTTGTTATTGCCGCCCTCCCCTTCCCGCAATACCCAACTTTGATTTATTTTATTTAATATCTTTTTTTTTTTTTAATTTTTGGAAAACTGCATTTCTGTTCGAGGCAACGAAGTAGAGGGACTACAAGCTGGACTGAAGGAATAGCAATTATACAAATGAAACAACACAGATCTGAGACAGAGACAGAGATGATGGGGCAGTGAAAAAGACAGACAGAGTGACGGAGAAAGAGATGGCAGAGATACTCAGACATGCCAAAATGCATTTCGTTTCTCCCACTCAAAATTTATTGTACAATTTTCGTTTTCACTTTTGGGACAAGCTTTAGTTAGTTGAAAGAAAAAAAAAAGAGATGAAAACGGAGAAGAGACACACACACACATACAAACATACATACACACATATATAGACACTCATTTTAAATTATAGTTCTCAGGAGTTTTGGCCTTTGTGTTCTTGTTGTACATTTAGCTTGGTGTTAGAAGTTTTCAAAAAGACACTGAAAACGGGAAATTACCATGAACGGAAGTTCTCTTGGAACTTACAGCTAAAACAGAGCGTTACTTAAACTACACACACACACACACACACAAATGTTAAACACACGTACAGAGGAAAACTTGAAGGAAATCAACGCTAAATGGACAAACACCGGATGAAATGGCCGAGAGGAGTGAAACACCAAGAGAGAAAAACTATTTGCTGATGTTCATAAGTTATAACGAATTACGAATGAATTAAAAACACAACCAATTGCTCGCTTCTGCCAATATATTTAACTTTGCAGTAACTTAACTTATGTACACCTACTATATATATATATATATAAATATAGCTATATATATATACTATATAAAGGGCCAATATACATATACCGCCCACTTAGATATTTACAAAGTTCAGCCGAGGATTAAATGGATTTTTGGACCTACGTAGCGTCGGGGAAAATGGCAGCCAGAGAGATTTATACAATAGCGAAGCATAAATAATTATACAACACAGTTTATCTTATGACCTAGGCTTAACTATCGATTAAATTATGATAAACTAACCAACCATGGACTCTGATGTATATTAAAGGGCGAAGCGATTTATGAATCCTAAAAAAGTTCCCTTCTAATTTGTGCAACTTGCGGATCTGTAGATGAGGTTAAGTATTGGGTAAAATCAAGTTATTTTTGTTTTTTTGTTTTGTTTTAAAAATAAGTTTTAACAGGTTTTTAAGAAAAATCAAGTGCAAATTTGATATCAAATGGAATCTGTAGAGTTTAATCTTTGGTTTCATTAATCAACTTTGCTAAATTAAGAACATGCATTCAGATTTGCTTTTAATTTAAGTAACTAAATTTCAATTTCAAATTTGAAATTCTAAACTTGTGTAGCTTAAATGTAAAATACATGCTGTAAGCTACATGTATTCTACAAGGAGTAAAAGTAAAGTCAAATCGCGTTATTTGTTTAAATTATTTAACTATTATACTGAGTACGAGTAATATAACACCATAATTCCAACTTTGAAATATATTTGTGATAAATTCATTATTAATGGATGTCTTTTTAAAACTAACAATAAATAAAAATTCAAGAAATAAAGGAGGAGTTTAGACATTATAAACTTAAAAGATAAGAGTTATCAGCGAAATCATTAATTTGTGCCTAGAACTGTTCTCATTCCCAGCTTATCTCCCATCAGAACTCAACGATCTGGCCTTTCATCTGACCTCCATTTCATCCTAATCCATTCCGGAGGCTTTTTCCCAAGGTCGGCGTCTAATCGATCGCCAAAAGCTCAGCGTTTCCAGTAGCACTATGAGAGCTGCTTTGTTCGGTTCGTGGTTCTGGCTGGTATTGGGCCTGGGCTTGTTCCTGGTCAGCAATTCCGGCATGGTTTTGGCCAAGCGCTTTCTGCGCTGCGAACTGGCCCGCAAGCTGCTCAATCAGCATGGTTTCGAACGAAGTCTGCTCTCGAACTGTGAGTGGGAATCTACAGATGAGACAGAAGATATATTCTTTGGATGCTGTTGACATTCTATTCTATCTTCTACGATATCCCATGTCTCAATTTAAGGGATCTGCTTGCTGGAACACGAGAGCGAGCTGGACACCAGCAGGGTCACCACGAATCCGAACGGTTCCCGTAACTATGGATTGTTCCAAATCAACAGCAGATTCTGCCAGGAGGGAAGACGTGGTGGCATCTGCAATGTCAAGTGTGAAGGTTTGGGGAATCTTTCAGGAACTGCTATGAACTTTGATGTACTATCCCTCACTAACTTGTAGATTTACTGGATGAAAATCTAAGGGAAGCGGCATCATGCGCCAAGCGCATCCAGACTTCGGATGGCTTTCGCCACTGGGCAGGATGGCAACGATACTGCTATAACAGCCAGAATCTGCCCAATCTTAGGGTCATCTGTGGGATCTAGGAGGTACTACTGCTTGGGTTTGTATGCAAGTCTATAATGTGGTAAATATATTTCCTTTTTGCGAACAATAAATTGATTTTTTTGAGTGTAGTTTGCAGCTTATAAGATCTTATGATCTGCTAGAAAGTAGAACGCGTCTTTCCTACTCTCTACTACTTCTGTTATACCACAAAAAAAAAAGCTAATGCAAGCTTTTTGACATGAACACTTTTTAAGCTTTTCAGCTGAGCAATTGAGTCACCTCATGAAACTAACAGCCCACTCTCCACCCCTCTGGGCGGGAGACTATCTCGATTACGTGGGGCTTTTGGACTCGTATGACTGGTGGGATTTCATTTGGCAACATCGGCCGAGCTATTCGGAGCGTTTTTTTGGCAACGTGTTCAAATCAGATATATCCCAGCAAGAAATTGTATGGAAAAAGAAAAATTCAAAGTCGAAGGAAAGAAAATTTCAGTGCCCAGTGGTGCCAGAGATACACTCTCTTTTATATAAGAATATATATCTAGATATATATCTAGATGTGATATTGTGTTTGCCCCAAAATTCGTCTTATATAAGATACATACCTCCAAAACCCATATATACCATGTGACTCATACTCCCCTATCTCTGAACCCGAACCGGTTCTCCAGAGGAACTGTGATGAAAGCTCTAAGAGATCGAAAGATCTGCATTCTCAGTCGTTGAGATGCGGTGTGTTAAAGATGAAGCCAAAATAAAAACTCAAGTGCAAACTTACTTTTTGTTTTCGTGTTCGAATCCTATCTTGAGATCCCTAGATATGTAGTTTTTGAACTATATTTTTCCCTAATATGATGAATAAGTGCCGCCCCCCCCTGCAAGGATTTCCTAAGAAATCTTCCCTTTCTTACCTAATTCTGTGAATAAAAATGAAAAAACCAAAGTATTTTTGTGTTCGAATCCTGTCTTAAGATCCCTTGATATATAGTTCTTTGACTATATCTACCCCTATACTATGACTAAGTGCTGCCCCCTGAAATGATTTCCTAAGAAATCTTCCCCATTTTAGAAAACTAAGTGAATAAAAATGAAAAACAAAAAGAAAACTGAGTTCTAATTGATGTTGATTTGGGGAAAATTAATATGTTATTAAATAATAATGCCCCTTATGTATAAAATTTCCATGGAGAAGGTGAAAACATTGCTAAGAAAATATCCCCAAAAAAGTCTGTTAATGTTTCTCATATAAGATTGATTTCTTTTTGAAGTTTTGTGTTAATTTTTGGTTTATGAAGGACTTATGGAATGTGTGAAAAGTTTCTAAGGAATATAGTTTCTTAAAAATAAATCATTTTTTATTATATTTATGGTGAAATCTTACTTTAAAGTGTGATATATTGAACTAAGAACTGAGATATATATAAAATATATACAAAAAAATCTACAAATAAAAGCAAATTCGAAAAGTTTACTTTCGAAAATTGAGGAAGAGTGTTCGTGATGATCCCTCAGGCAGTGAAGTAAAACAAATACCAAAGGATGGACTTATTAAAATAATATTTAAACTTAATAAAAATATATTCCTTAAATAAATAAATAAATAACTCAATGAAACCTTAAATGATCTTTTGAATGTGGAAGTTAAGTTCGGGTTTGGCTCTAAGATAAAATTTCAGAGGATATGATCACCTAAGTGCATGAGTGATCACTAGAACTGTGATTATAGAGCATTACAGGTTGATAGGGAGATGATCCCTCTCCTGAATGTCCTGCCAAGCGAATTCGGTTCTTCGTGGGCTGTAAATTTTACGAGGAAACCTTCTTGTTTACCATTTTCCAGATGGTTCTCTCTGCATTTTGATATTTTCATAGGTTTGTGAAAATGTATCGTGAACTCAATTTCATTAACTTGGATCACTCAGCTGGCTTGTTTTCTGTTATTTTTGGCTATTTCATCACATGGCGAAATCCGTACAAAAATCCCCAATGCCAAAGAGCTTTGTTTGCGTTTTTTTTTTTCTGTTTTGTTTTGGCAATCTGAGAACGACGCTAAATCCACGTAGGAGATAGCAGCGAATCGCACAAAAACAAACTTGTTATAAAAAGAGAGAGAGAGAGAGAGAGCCGTAAACTACAGGCGAGACTACCTAAGGTGAACTGGCAACTTATCTGGGGCTACTTAATTACTGAGATTGTATCATTTTAATGGAATTATAAGAAAATGTGATCAAAATAGATAAGATATTAATAGTAATTGAAGTTTAATGAGTTTTTAATTTATATTTTTTAATTATAAAAAACGTTTCTTAGTGAAGTTTTTCTAATAATATTAAAGGCTGGCTTATTTCCTTATAACATTTCAGATTTAAATCCTTAAAATTAAAGTTAAATATTGAAAATTTCCTTTGACTTTTAATTCAAAATATTATTACAAAATATTTTAATTAATTTGCCATCATTAGTCGATTATTATCGATTAGTTTACTTCTTTTTAGACAAGCCTGCCTGTCAGTGTCATTTCCCAGTTCATTCTCATTAAATCGAAAATTTTAATCCCGTTCACATCTTAAAATTTTCATTCCATTAAGTTGCTTGAAAACGAAGTTTACTGTGCTCCAGTGGCTCTCCCTTTGTTTGCGACGCATTTCCAAGTTCCATTAGTGTGCCGTTCTACCGCTCGCCACCCACCGCCCACCGCACCGTCAATTTACCGCTTTGACGCTCTGCTGGCGCCGACGAGCGACGACGACGCCCCCTGAGAGTATAAAAAGTGCCGGCCGGCGAGCGTTTGTCATCAGTTTACAAGCTTTCAGCTTTGTGGAAGAGCGTCTGGCTAACTACTGCTAACTAGGAAAAGCAAACCCAAAGCCAAGTCAAAACCAAACCAAAACATTCCATTGAAAATTTATTACACCATCGAAGGTAAATCTCTGAGAGAAACCAAGATGAGCCAGCAGGCCAATCTGCAGGAAGAAGATCGGGAGCCGATTTCCCAGGAGATAATCGACTCCTATGTTGGCGTCGAGGAGGAGAGGGCTCCAAGGGAGCCGGAAGACAGGATCCCAGCTAGATCCGCCCTCAAGCTGTATGCCAAGGCTCTCAAGAAAGTGACCAAGGTGCAGAGAATGCTAGAGCAGGCCATGGCACTGATGGCTGAGGAGGAGGCCAAGAACTCGAAGAAGTCTAAGAAACAGCAGAAGAAGCAGGCCAAGAAGGACAAAAAGAAGGCCAAAAAGCAAGCCAAGAAGGCAGCCAAGCAAGGAGAAGGGGAGGTTCCAGTGCCAGGTGATGAGCCCATGGAAGACTCTTCTAGCTCATCCAGCACAAGCTCGTCTAGCTCCAGTTCCAGTTCATCCAGTTCAAGCTCCAGCTCTGAGGACGAAGAGGGTAACTTCTACGGCTACGGTTGGGGTCGCAATCCCTGGCGACGAGGATCCTTTGGCCACCACGGACACGTTCATAAGCATGGTCGCAAGCATGGCCACGGCAAGCATGGTCATGGACCCCATCATGGTCATGGACCCCATCATCATGGCCGTCATGGACATGGACGTCCGCATCGTCGCCACTATGGACCTGCATCCTACTTTGGACCTGGAGAGTTTCTTGACTATGAGCGGCGGTCCTACCCGGAACATTGGGTTAACCGGAGTCAGTTTTTTCAGGGGATGGGCCTGCCGTGGGCCCTGGACAATGCCGCGGCCTACCGGAGGAGCCACTCGCTGCCTAGACCTGGGTACGACTTTCGTGGAGATCTCGGATTCGGATTCGGATTCGGACCCGGACACCGACACGGACATGGCCACCAGGGTAGACACCATGGCCGTCGAGTAGAGAGAAGCCGCTCTCGTTCCCGTTCCCTTTCGGGTGAGAAGAAACACTGCGACAGGAAGTCGAGGCGCTCTAGCTCTAGTAGCTCAAGTTCTTCCGAGGATGAGAAGAATAATAGGAAGCGCAAGTGCAAGGGCAAGGGTAAGGGTAAGGGCAAGGACAAGCCCAAGAAGCAGCGCTCATCCTCTAGCTCCTCGTCGAGTTCCAGCTCCAGTTCGGATAGCGATGTGCAGAAGAAGCACAAACACGGTGGTCGTGGTCATGGTCATGGTCACCACTTTGGACCTCCCCATGGCCATCACTTTGGACCTCCCCATGGCCATCACTTTGGACCTCCCCATGGCCACCACCATGGACCTCCCCGTGGCCATCACCATGAACCGCCCCATGGCCACCATCATAGAGGTCGTAGTCCGTTTCCGGGACCCCATAATGGACCACACCATTTCGGACCACACCGCAAGCCAGAGTTTCCATTTCCCCCCGGTGAACCCAATGAAGGAATAGCTTTTGGACCACCTGGTGACGTAGCTGAAGCATCGCCGTTCAGATTCGGTTGGCCTCGTGGTCGTTCCCGGTCCCGTTCCCGTTCCCGTTCGCACTGCCAAAAGGAAAACCATGAGAGATCCCACTCCAAGGGTGGGGAAGAATGTCAAGATCGCCAGGACAAGAAGAAGGCCAAGAAGGGCAAGAAGAAGCATGGAACAAAGGAGCATGGAGATGGACATGGATCGCACCGTGATTAGGCGATCTCATCCAGCATTGATATATCCTATATCCCGTATTATTTCCCAATTATATAGCAACCTATATATATATATATTCTTAAAAACATAAAACCAAAAAAAAAACATTTAAAATTATATCAAAAAACAACAAGAAAAACAAATAAAAACTAAACACCAAAGCCAAACGAGTTGTAATTATTTTTTAATCGCGATTTGAAAACCAATTTGCTTTCCTCTTCGGCGATTTTATAAAATATTTCAATTAAAATTGATTTACCATTCCATTTATTCACTTTTTTTTTTTTTGGGCTTAGCGAGCAGCTGAATTTTCCGCCTATAATTATATTATTTAATTATATTTGAACACTCGGCCGAGTGAGCCGTGGCCAATGATTAAATTGCATTATTAATGCATCGAAAGTGATAAGGACATCAGAAAAGGCCAACACAAAGCGGCCAAAAAACACAAATTTAATCACGTTAAGAGGCATTTAAACTCTCAAAGGGAGGTGGAAAACATTTTCAAATAAATAATAACGACTATATAGATAGTGTGGGTGGTGGGGCGATGGTGTGTCTTTGGGTCATGACGAATCCACGATAAGATGGGTATTCCTAGATAGGTTTTACCCACTCTAATGACGATGCAACGGCAACGACAATCAGCGATAACAAGTCCGATAACTTGATTGATAGGGGCTTATAAAAGATATACCCCGCCCACCTTCTACTTTCCACCTGGCTAAATATGATTTCATCTACAAAATGGAGGGGGCGCTCCGCTTGAAAATAATCCAATTAAATGCGGAAAATGCCAGCAGCAACCGCAGCAGCCATCAATTAGCTGACCCTTCTAGGACTAGCCTGGCCATGGGCAGGAAGGATGAATAATTTCCCCTTAAGTTAGGGGACTTGGGAACGCTATCTGCTTAACTGTTCTCAGCTGCGTAGGGGAAGAGCTCAGCTGAGTCTCAGCGACTAGGAAATCCCCTTCAAGACAGGATTTCTAGGTTCAGTTTGAAGGAAAAGAGAACAGAAATTTCTTGCTTAACTTTAGGGTTTTGACCTCTTTAACTTACAAGAATACCAAATGAAATCCTTAAAATCCTTACCTAAAGATATTATCAAAAAGTGAAGTCCCTCTTTTCCATACAATATACCCACTGTTATCTTGTGTAGGGTGCACACTCTCCTTCCTTCTCCTTTTTGTGACCAACTTAAGCGCTTAAGAGAGCCGAATACTGGGAACAGCAATGGGAACACTTGCCGGGAACAGCCTGCGAGTCCTCTCAGACATCGCTCCCCTAATTAATGGGCGGGGGCGGCAAATGGGAATTGCTTTTGTCTATAGCTTGTCTGGCAGATCGGTGGGAATGGGACACAAAGAGAGGGGCAGCAGCACGGACCCACTGGAGTTGTGGGGCAAAGTTGAAGAAACGCCGGGTAGTTGGCCTGCCTGGCTTAAGTGCTGTTTAATAATGAAACACCGCAACATACATACGTTGGGGCCCTGAACTCCTGACCTCTGAACCGGGCGGACCAGGAAGTCGCTGTACTAGGAAAGCACCCCACCACCTCTCTCCCTCTTTGTCCAAGCAACAGGTAACAGCCAAAATAAAAAAATAAAAACATACAAATCTGAGGGCGCACATTTTCCAAAGGAAAACTTTATTCGATTTTTGTGACAATGTGACAGGCGCAGCAACTTTTCCTCATTGTTTTTTGGCTTTTGTTTTGCCTTTTTTTCTGTTTATGTTGACAAGCGGGAAAGTTGACTTGTTTTCCAGCAGTCTTTTGCAGTCACTTGCTTGTATATCTGAAATAAATCTAAAATTTAATAAACTTGAATTCTAATAAGAAATGTAAATGCATTTCTCGGATCAAATTTAATGATTTTCTTCAATGAAAATGTGGCATGTGAGCCACCCTTCCCGTTCTCCCCATGACTTCCCTTTCCCTTTTCCACCTTTATTGTCACTTGCAGGTCTTTCCATTTCCCAGAAACAAAGCACCATAGATGTTAGGGGGGAGAGGGGGCAAGTAAAAATAAAACAGAAAAAATACAGAGAGTGTGGCATAAATAGAGGATGCTGCCGGAAGTCGGTTACGGTTTTTGAGCGGAAATAATTTTGCCACATGTTGGCAAAATAAAAACACCAACAGCGGGTAATTCTAAAACAAAGTCACGCGCAGAAAATCGGAACGGAAAAGCGGGGGAAAATTGCGGCGGGCTGCAAAGGACGTGGCGCAAATCCTTCCGTTGTCGTCATTGTCGAAAGCTTAAAATTCAATATAAGCGAAGGACCCACCTCGTCCTTCTTATCCTTTTGATTCCCACTTCCTGTTTCGCCCCATTTAAGATTTCACTTTCTGAGGGTACGGGTACATGTATACCCATTACTCGTACAGTGAAAGGTTATGATGTATTCAGTGAAAAGTATGTAAGAGGGAGGAGGAAGCGTTTGCGATCCTACGAATTATATTCCTTCTTTATAGGCATCAGTATTCGAGTAGATTCAGCATCGTCTTTTTTTAAGAAAAGTCGCGAATGCAGTTTTGTTAGAAATCAAATTACGAGTTCAACGAGGTTTGACATTCCGTATTCGGTCTATTATTGACTTAGTTAAGGACATAATACTGTATTAAAGCCTACAACAGCAGTCACGTCATTGCTTTCTGAGATTTATTGCCATTATGTTATAACTAACATATTTATGTTATTAAAATGTAAATTACAGAAGTCATTTTCTGCTGTTAACAGATTTTCTTTAAAGTTTGCGGAGTAGGTTAACGAAGTAACGGGTGTTTGCTATTTGCGGCAATCGAATTTTTCGTTGTTCTTGTTGTTATTTTAAAGAGTTAACTTGATTTAAAAGTGATCGCGGAGCTGCCCTTTGAGTTTTATTCCATGTAAGTTGCTTAAATGGTGAATTTACCTATTTTCTATGCATAAATGCAAAGGGTGCTTCGCACACAAGAGCTAGATGGGCGAGAGGGGTGAGGCAAAGCGAATAACTGTGAAAGTCGTTAATTGTTTTGCTGTTTAAAAATATTAAAAACATATAAAATTAAAAGTAGAAAAGATCACAGGAAAGTGTTTCGGTTTGTGCTTAAAATATATTGGTAACGTAGTGAACTTATCTATTTTTCATTCCCAAATGCAAAGGGTGCTCCGGGTGCAAAGTCTGTGTTAACTTACGCACCTGCAGTTGTATGTGTGTTAGTGTGTAAATTTGCGTATTTAAAATAAATTAAATGCCTTGTCAAGCAAGGGAGAGGTGAGCGGGAGGCAAAGCGAAGATCTATGCAAGCCCTTCTTATCTCTCACCCATAATTTTGGTATACAGAATTTTTGGCTCTCCAGATTTCATTCCTAAGTGCGTTGCCAAATTTCAGTATTCTAAATCAATTAGGTGCTTTGTCTAGCAAGAGAGAGGAGAGCGGGGGGCAAAGCGAAGAACATTCATTCATAAATGCGTTGCCAAATTTCAGTCGGTGTTGTTTACACTTTTGCTAGCAAGAGAGGGGAGAGCGATCGAAAAGTGAGAGTGGCAAGGCAATGAACTGTAAAAGCCCTTCTTAGACTCGCTCACCTACTTTGTGCAATTTGCAAACCAGAGAGAGAGAGATAGCGGTGCGGGAGAGGAGAGGCAGAGCAAAGAACTTTGAAAGCCCTTCTTGGACCCCGCTCGCCTACTTTTCTCTATACCTAATTTCAGTTCTTCAGCTTCCATTTACAAGTGCGTTTGCCAAACTGCAGTCGGTTGATTTTTTGTTGCCAAAAAGTGTTAAAAGTTGATAAAATCAAACATAAAAGTGATCGCGGCTAAGAGAATCGGCATGTGGTCAATATTTATGGCCTACATAATGAATTTAACTATTTTTTATGCGAAAACGCAAAGGGTGCTCCGCCGAAAAAGTGCGTGTGTGTGTTACATATCTACATAAGTGTGCATGTAAGTGTGTAAAGATGTGCAATTTGGCAAACGAGAGAGCTGACCGAGAGAGGGAGGCAGAGCGGAGAACTTTGGAAGCCCTTCTTAGACCCCGCTCTCCTACTTTTCTCTACACCTAATTTCAGTTCTTTAGCTTCCATTCACAAGTGCGTTGCCAAACTGCAGTCGAGTGATTTTTTGCTGATAAAGAGTGTTAAAAAATGTTAGAATCAGACTAAAAAGACTAAAATCAGACTAAAAAAGTGAGTGTTTTAGTTTGTGGTCAATATAAATTGGCTATATAATGAATTAAAATACTTTTTATGCGAAAATGCAAAGGGTGCTCCGCTGAAAAAGTGCGTGTGTGTGACATTCCTACGTATGTATGTATGCAAGTGTGGAATGACGTGTAGTTAATGATGATTATGTTAATGACGATTATGTTAATGATGATAATGTTAATGATGATTCTTTGGCAAGCTAGAGCGAGGTGAGTGATAGAAAAGTGAGAGAGGGAAGGCAAAGATAAGAACTTTGGAAGATCTTTTACCTGTCCGCTCTTTCCCCTCTGGAACTTTCCGTTGTCCGTTTTGCCAGTTTCCATTCTTAAACTTGCACTTGTTGTTTGGAGTTTTGGAAAGTGTTAAATTAGAAGGCGAAGTGTGATTGCATGTATTTAAGTTTAGCTAATTTATATTTGCAAAAGCAAAGGGTTAGGCACGTCTACTTACACTTGCATACATATATATGTGAGTATGTATACCATATAAAGTGAATTTTTGTGGTCATCTACAGGTAGTAAATATATATTCCTACAGAATGGTAAAGGTAAATAATCCAATAATTATGTGGAACGTAAGGGTAAGAGTTTTATTCATATTTTTACATAGATTGATATTCATTTATAGTTATATATATATTTTTGTAAATATATTTATACTTATAAATATTTATACTTATAAATATTCGCAGGAAAACTGAAGGCGGCTTAAAAATGCAACGTTTTGTGTGGAAAACCAGATACCAATATTTCCTAAAATGCAACAAATCGAAATAGAACTTCGATTAATGGCAGAAAAATGTGGAAATTAAAGGTAAGTGTATACATTTTGTTGCTAATTATATAAAATTAATTATTAACTTAATTTTACATTTTATTAATTTAAATTTTATCTTTTTTTCAGGAGAAATGTATTGCAAGTCGATTTGTTCCTTCTTTGTGAAGTTTTTACTA